TCATCCCATTCCTACAAAAGAATTTTAAAAGATTTTCCATCATTTCTAAAATATAAAATCACATTACTGCCTGTAGGAAAATTGGTAATTCAGCGGCGTCTTATAAATCTCCTGAAAAGTAAATAAAAATTGTTGTGCATTTTGATTTTCTTTAGAAGATTTGCAATGACTCTTTTATCAGAAATTTTTTTTCCACTTTTTTTGAGTGATTTTTGTATGTGTTTGACTTTCAGTTGTGCATATAAAAAAGAAATCTTTTGCTTATTTTACATCAAAATCTTAGTGGGTTTATAATTTAGTGTTTTAACTGCTTTATTGATAAACTCGTATTTACTAATTAAAGTGAAAAGTGTAAATTATACATTTTTTAAGTAAATACAATTTTATTTACATTTTTTTAAAGAAGGATTTTTTAATATCAGAAATAATGGAAATTGCATAAGGAAAATTTCTCTAATGAAGCAATTTGAAAGTTTCTCTAGTGAAGATTTTATTAATTGTAAAATATATAACATCAGTTTAATAATTGTTAACCTTTAGAATCAGTTGTTGCCTGTTATTGAAATAAAGTTTCACAAAATGACCCAAAGATCAATTAAAAAATACGATGAAGGCATGTGATCCAGAGAGGAGTTTTTGTAAAATTGCCTCGCAAGCGTTTACAGATTTTAAATCTCAGAATCTCAAATGAAAATGAATTTCTAGTTTCTTAAATTTTAAGATCTCTCTCAGGATAGAGTTGAAACTAGTTTAAACTCTATTCATCTAGTTTCAACTTTTAAGAGATAAAAACTGTGTTATCCTGAATTAGCCTGGTTTTAACATAATATTTCTTATTTGGAGAATGAATATAAAAAATATTATCCATTGATAGTTTGAACAAGTAAATTTTATTATTTATAATTTTTTTTATTTATTCATATTTTCACTGTATAAAAGATGCCATTGTTAATAGTTTGAACTTATACTACTTAATGTATATGACTTTGGAAAGCCGATTGGGGGTCGTTGCTTGTTTTAAAACCTGTAGTAACAACAGCTATTATAGAATGACATCACTTAATCACGAGACATAATATTTATTTCTAGTTATTACCAGTTGTTTACTAATATTTATTACTAGTTATAACCAGTATAACCGCTGAAAAAACCTCTTAATCCAGGCAAAAAATTTCTTCAGGGCAAGAAATAAATTATACTAAGAATTAAATTTCTACACTTCTTTTAGGCTACTTTAATAAAACAAAGTCTTTAAACAAAAACTAAAAGGAAGACCTGCCCAATCCAAACCCCAGTCGCTACATGTTCTGATACCTGTAATAACAACAGCTATTATAGAATGACATCACTAAATCACGTGACATAATACTTATTATTATACCAATATAACCGCTGAAACAATTTCCTCATCCAGGCAAGATTTTTTAATTTAGAAATGATAAACTTTTAAGTTAAAATACATTTAAGACAAGATATAGAAATTTCTATAATTTCAAAATCTGCACCTATTTTAGGCTAGTTAAAGAAAATAAAATTTTTTTAAAATACATGTTCGCTGCATGTTCTATAACCTGTAGTAACAACAACCACTATGGAATGACATCACAAAAATTACATGACATAATTATTATTGACTATTTATTATTTTTATTGACTCCTTCATCCAGACAAGATTTACTAATTTAGAAATAAAAAACTTTAGAAATATAGAAATTTCTAAGATTTCAAATTCTGCACTTATTTTAGGCTAGTTCAAGAAAATAAAAAATTTTAAAAATAAAAATGACAATGGAGACCTGCCCAACCCAAACCACTGCAATTTTTTAAATTCGATAAATAATTTTGAAAATGTAACAAATCAACTCGTTTCAGTCAGAAAAAATTATCATTCAGACTTTTTAAAGTATAAAAAATCTTTCAACAAATGGTGTTGTTTCGACTTCAAGTTCCCTTTGAACAAAAGTGGTTGGAAATGTAAAAAATACAAAAAATCAAATAAAAAAAAGTAAACAATGAAACTAAAATAATCAATCCTCGTAATAACCAAACAGATGAATATAAATGGCCAGTAGGAACAACCCTAAAATGTGGAGACTCTATTTTGATGGGGATAAACAAAAAAAAAAAAAAAAAAAAAAAAAAAATGCATAAGCTTGGAAAAGTAAAAGTAAGAGTATTTAATGGTGCTACCATTGAAGACGTGCATTTTAACCTAGTTCCACTTTTGAAAAAAGAACCTTCAAAAATTATCCTGCATGTTGGAACAAATAATTGTACAAATGATTTGTCTGAAACTGATTTAGCAAAATTAAACGATCTTGTTTCCTTTATTTTAAAATCCAACCTTTCTTGTTCAATAATCTTATCTACACCAATTCGTTATTTTGATAATGCTAAAGCTCAACTAACGTCACTTAGCCGAAAAATTAAAACTAACTAAAAACAACGGTTTTGATAATGCTAAAGCTCAACTAACGTCACTTAGCAGAAAAATTAAAACTAACTAAATTTAATATTATTGATAACTCTAATTTATCTAATGAACACCTTGGGCTACGTGGTCTTCACCTAAACACGCGAGGATCAGGTAGACTAGCCATGAACTTTATTGCATATCTGAAGTCTATTTGATAGACATTCCCCTATAGATTCTTATCATTAATCTACCTTACCAAGTACTATTGAAGGAATTAATCTAAGTTCTGATTTGGATAATCTAAGGGCCAAATATCCCAAAAATATCAGTTTAGCATTGTTAAATATTAATTCAATTCGTTAAAAATTAATTCAATTCGTTATAAATTATAAACTCCAAATCAGAATTGTGACTATTTCTTCAATCACCTTAAAGGAGTGCTTGACTTTTATTTGCAATCATATCTTGATTTTATTCTAATAGGAGATTTTAATATACAACCTTCAGAAAAAAAAAGGAAGGAATTCCTTTAACTTTATCAATGTACTAATTTAATTAAACAATCGACTTGTTTTAAATTGGTCAATAACCCTTCCTGTATAGACCTTAACCTTGCTAACAGAAAGCTGAGCTTCCAAAATTCAAATACCTTTGATACGAATGTGAGTGATCATCACCATTTAATATACACCATGCTAAGATCCACTTTTTGTAAAATACCACCTAAAAAACTTATATATAGATCGTTCAAAAATTTCTTAAGTGAGATTTTTGCAAAAATACTCCGTTTCAACTTAAAATATTTTTATGATATTAGCACTTTTAAAGAAATATTCAGCAATTTGCCTAATATTCATGCCCCTCCTAAATCAAAAATTCTAAGAGGCAACAATAAACCATTTTTAAAACTAAAGACTTATGAAAAGCAATTATGCTCCGCTCTTCATTATATAAATTTTTTTGTTTGTTGATAAATCAGATTTTTCAGTTCTAATCTACAAAAAACAAAGGAATTTGGTGGTTAAGCTAAACCGAAAAAATAAGAAGTACTTTGAGCAAATCAATACACTTTTGACTTCAAATACATCTCTTGAAGCTAACTAAGCCTTTTTTTTCGGATAAATCTACAAATTCTAACGAGCGAATCATTCTGAATAAAAATGGCAACATTATCTCAGACAGTTCTTTATTGACTAATATTTTTAACAACTATTTCATAAATGTTGCATTGCCATCAAGTATGGCCGACCATATTAAATGGTCTTTTTCTTCTTGCACTTCAGACCCAGTTGAGTCAGCTATTAAAAAGTATGTTGACCATCCTAGTATAAGAAATATTAAAAATAAATTCAAAATGAATGCACATAATTTCAAGTTCCATTGTATTACATCTGATGATATTACAAAAATTGTAGGGTCTATGAATGAAAAAAAAAAAAAAAAACAATTGGTGAAATACCAACTTTTATGTTAAAATCTTACTTAATACACTTTAGGGATAGTCTTTCAGGTTGTATCAATAATAGCATCTTAAATTTCTGTCATTTCTAAAAATGGTGGATGTTTTACCGTGTCTTAAGAAAAATGACCCAACAGATAAGGCTAACTATTGCCCTATAAGTATTCTACCTGCTCTCTCCAAGGTTTTTGAAATGATCGTTTATGAACAAATTTTGTTATTTATGGAGCCAAAATTTGACAAATTTTTGTGTGGTTTTTGTAAAGGTTATAGTACTCAGCAATGGAGGTTGGAACATTGTTGGAACATTATTAATGGATCTATCTAAAGCATATGATTTAAATTTCCATGACCTACTTAGTGCTAAATTAGAGGCATATGGTTTCTCTAAAGAAAGCCTTAAATTTCTTATATTGTATATTAGTGGTCCTAAACAAAGGGTAAGATTAGGATCTTCTAGACTAAAATAGTGCCTGAAAACTAGAAGACATTAGCTGGTAATTCAAGTAATGTATTTAATTTTTAAATAAAAATATACTTCTTTTCACAAACCTGAACTTGAAGATCAAACTCCTTCAACTCTAACTTTTTTATCAGTTTACATGCATTATGAGAAAAAATATCCACTAGATCATCTTCTAACATTATTAAAGGACTTTTTTCTGCCCTAAATATAAAATGTAAAAACTGAGCTATCTAAATAAAATAATGATAAGAATACAAAAATTACTTATTAAAATGATTATTTAATTAGTAGCAAAGTTCATTTACTTCACTAAAAACAACAAAAAAAAATAAAGATAATTAATTAATAGAAAAATTATTTAAATTAATTAAATTAAATTGAACCTATAAAATATATTTTAAAATCACCTTTACAATGTAAATCAAACACTCCTAGATAATCTAATTTCATAAAAAATATTAATAACAAAGTACTGTAAAGCAAATTTAAAAGCACTTGATATAATAATCTAAAAAGAATCTTTTCACACTAAAAGTTAACAATAAAAACAGTAGAAAAGTTACATTTTTATTGTTTTTTTTTTATATTGAGGTTGTTTAAAAAATTTTATCTTAAATAAAACCCAACTTTTTAAATTTGATTTTTATTGTAATATTGTTGTAATTTGTACTAACTTTTCTGAACGAGTACTCAACTAACTTCTTACAGAGTTTTTCTTACTTACATCTATACTAAGTCCTCTACTTTAAGTCTTTGCTGATTTTTTTTTACCTATTATAGAAACCTTACCTCTAACTCCTAATATAGTTAACATCAATTCACTAAAAATAGTGTTCACTATTTTCTTAATGCTGTAAGAATAAAGTCTTTTTACACAAAAACAACAATATTAACAACAAAAAAACTATTTACCTTTTAAGTTGGACTATCTGAACAGTTTTACATAATGAAATAAACAACAATATTGATTCATTTTCAAAATCACTTTTTTTTAAATAGTTTACAACATGTTTTCCAATATTTGCCAAATAAAGATAAACAACTTGTTCACTTCGTGATGTAATCAGTGGATCGGAGAGTAACTAAAATTATAATATATTTTATGTAGAACTTGAAAACCTTTACGCAATCTTAAAATATGACAAATATGATAAACATTCAAAAAAATTTTTTGAGAAAACTTTAGAAATGAAAAGAATCTGTAAATAAGTGTAAAAAAATAGTGTACAAGCAATAAGTAAGAAAGTAGAAAAACAACTAAAAAAAGGTACTAATTTACTTTTATTGGGAACTAAGTATTAGTTTTAATACATTAATATAATAAGATAAATTATTTCAAAGAAGTTAATTTATTCCTGTGGGTATCTAATAAAATTTCAAACTTTTGTTTTGGTGGTACACATAGGCTTCTGCACAGAACAACAATCAAAACTATTTGATGTTTTTTAAATGACATTTTTAAATATTTAATTTTTCATCATAGTTTTGTATTTATTTTTATTTTTCATAGAATAATTACCCAGTACTTTACAATAATTTTTAATACCGGGCAGTTTGGAGTATTTGGTATTTTAGATATTGTGACGTATTTATTATTTTAGACAACTTTCAGGTCATTATTTTTATACCAACCCATAAGCAGTTTGCTATAATGACTTGATGATAAATCAGGAAGGAACAAATGTCTATTATAAAGTGATTCAAACGTTAATACAATTAAAAAAAAGGTAAAAGTTGTCTTTGTTTTAACACGCTTTAACATATATTTTTTACCAAAATGTGTGGACTCAGAAATATAGGGTGCTGATATTTTGGTCATACCTGCAAATAGCTTGCCAAATCAAAGCTTTCTAGGCAAAAAAGTTTTTTTTTGGCAAGCTATTTGCAGGTATGACAAAACTTGACATACCTGCAAATAGTTTGCCAAAAAAAAAAGGCTTGTCATTTTTTGTGTATTAAAATTTCTTATCTGCTTTTCTTCTATGTTTGGAATTATAGTAGACAGCAGTAAGAATTTGCTGATGATCATACTTCATTTAAGTTTCATCATCTTCAATAATTCAGAAATTTTTAGAAATACAGTTGTCACACAACTTTCTTCAGTGGGTTCTTGCATTTTTTTTAAATTTCAGAAAAGTTAGGCACTTTTTGTGATTTGAAAGCTTGAAAAAAACATGTTTTTATCAAACAATAAGAAAATTTTAATATTTTTGTACGTTTGTGTGTGAGATTTGGATTATTCATAAAATTGTTATCTAACTAATTTCATATCTTGAAAAACCTACTTTCCTCCATTACCAGATATGCATTAGATTGATTTTGTTTAGGAAAAACGTTAAACAACATGACTAATGATGTAGAAATGTATTTGCAACTTTTTTGCTACTGAATTGTAGCTAAATTCAGATTTTCCAAAAAATTTGTGTAAAATTTTTTTAAACGTTATCTTCTTTTGACATTTTTAAAACTTAAATTAAATGGAAAACTAAAATCTTTATCAGAAGCAAATTTTAAAGGCAATTTTTTTAAAAATGTGTTGAGAACAGTCAAATGCTAAATTATTATATATTACATTTGTATCATACTAGTAAAAAAGAGGTAAAATCATGGTTAAACTATGTGTCCGAGGCTACCCTCCAATTTTGAAACATGCCTTTTTTCTAACATTTTTTCTTTAATGTTTTGTAAATTATTAAGATACGAAACAATTATTTTTATGGTCCTGGTATAACTCTGATACTAGTTCTTGCATTTCACAAATACAGAAGGCAGATCTTCTGTATTTGTTTTTTATTTGAAGAAAAAGTGTTGGTCCTTGAGATATCTCTGATATCAGTTCTTGCATTTCAGTAAATATTAGATCGATTGTAGACAGATCTTCCGTATTTATTTTTTATTTTAAGTTTTATTTTGTTTGTATTTATTTTTAATTTTAAGAAAAAAACTTTTTTTAAATTTTATTTTACTTATATTTATTTTTTAATTTAAGAAAAAAACTTTTTTTAAATTAGTTTTCACTAAATAAATCAAAGTTTAAATCAAATAAATAGTTAAAATCAAAGTTATGTAAAGTTTTTAACTTTTTATTTTTCAAAATAAATTGCTAAAAACAAAAACTGTTTTTCTGACTACTTTCTGAGTAAATGGGATCTCGATAAAACTAAGAATTTAACCTTGTGAGAAAAAAAAATTATTAACAAATTTTGCTTACTGTAGCCATCAGTTGAAAAAGATTTTCAAGAATGACAAACATTTTGAAATTGAGAGCATCAAGAGATGAGCAAATCTGTAAAAAATAACATATACATACACTAAGATATTTACATATGTATATATATATATATATATATATATATATATATATATATATATATATATATATATATATATATATATATATATATATATATATATATATATATATATATGTATATATATATAGGCTTGGGCAGGAATGACGTGCGATCGAGCGCTATTACTGACCAAGCAAATAATTTTACTTTTTGACAACTTGACCACGATTGTTTATATGTTTTGATGATTAAAACATTTCAGAAATGTAAAAATGCTAAGCTTAAACGTAAACTAGAAAAAAAAAAAAAAAAAAAAAAAAAAAAAAATTAACAAAAAAAAAATCTCAACGAAAAAAGAAAGAAAAAAAAAATCCTTACAAAAAAGAAATTATATAAGCACTTATAATAAAAATATATAATATATAATATAATAATATATAAAAATATATAATATATAATAATATATAAATATATAATTATAAATAAAAATTAAAAAATTCAACTCTAAGCAAAACTTTTTGTTACGTTTTTAGTTACGTTTGAAATAAATGTTATTAAAACTTACCTTGTTAAACATTTTATCAATGTTATAACAAAATAAAATAGAAACAAAGTATCAAGATATATTAGAAAATGTATTGAGTGAGTATATTGCTTTTGAGAATTTCAAAAAAAAAAAAAAAGAAAAAAAAAACAATATTAAACATAGAAACAACTTTAAATCCAGAGACAATATTAAACCCAGAAACAACAAGAGGATTGTTTCAAAATGTCTTTATGAATTTTCCTTTAATGTGTACTATATGATAGAATAAAATTTTCAAAACTTTTTGAAATACTTTTATTTTTAAGGGCTTTTATTGCTCAAGCGCTCAAGACTCTTAAACAATTAACAAGTTATATATATATATATATATATATATATATATATATATATATATATATATATATATATATATATATATATATATATATATATATATATATATATATATATATTTAAATTAGTTTTTAATATTGCAACCATGAAATGCAAAATTGAAAACAAAAAATATTTCTAAAAATTATTAAATACAGTGTAGTGAGTTTTTTATGCCACTAAAGAGACAAACTTGGTAACAACCAAAGAAAAAAACAAAAGATTAGCTAATCATCTGCATCAGAAAAAGTAATCAATTTGTTTCTTAAATTTGTTCTCAAATGTATTCGTTTGAAATAAATTTGTTTCTTATTTATAAGTTTTTACCTTTATTGAATGTGAAACTTTTTATATAATATTGACTTTTGACAAAGAAATTTATGGATTGGAACGTTTCACAATTTTCCAGATTATTAAGGATGTGAACTTTATGTTAAGTTTTGTGAATTTTTTTAGTTTTTAGTGTTTGCCTTAGTACAATTATGAGTTGTTCCCATACTTAAGATAGCTGTAAATAAAAGAAAAGTATATGCTTTTTAAACAGTTATGGTATAAAAACTTTTATATGATAAGCCAATATTTTTTGATGTTTTGTTTTCTATTATACTCATGTGTTGGGAAGTTTTAATGTAATACATTTTTTTTTTGAGTCTATGAAAAAGAGTTTATTTGGTTTTTCTTATATATAAGGATAATTTATTCGACTTAAACCATTTAGTTAAATTTGAAAATTCCTTATCGACTGAATCAAATAAGAAGTTGATGTTACTATGAGAATAAAACAAGTTTGTGTCATCAGAGAACAAAATTGAATGTAAAATATTAGAAGACTTATGTAAGTCGTTTATATAAATAACAAAGAGTGGTCCAAGTATTGATCTTTGAGGAACACCCTGTGTGAACATAATATATTTTAATTTTCCTTTGTTATACGATATATATTGTTTTCTATGTAAAGTATTTTTTAAAACAAGCAATGTTTGAGTTTTTTATGCCATAAAGTTTTAGTTTAGCTAGAAGAATGCTATGATCAACTGTGTCAAACACTTTGCTGAGATCTATAAAAAATCTTAACGTATTTTTTTTTTCATCAAATGTTTCAAGTATGTCATGAATAAAGTTAACAATGGCATGGTCAGTAGAGTGTCTTGAATTAAACTCAAATTGTTTGTTGTAAAGAATATTATTTCTATTTAGAAAGAAATAAATTCTATTGTACATAATTCTTTATAGTATTTTTAAGAATTAAGAAAGTATATATATATAAATATACATATATATATATATATATATATATATATATATATATATATATATATATATATATATACACACACACATATATATACATATATGTGTGTGTGACATTGTGACATGTCACACATGTGTGACATATAACATAAAAAAATTCTTACGGTTTTAATAATGTCAGCATTTGAAGTATTGTCTTTATTAGAAAACTTAATAACTGCATGAAATAATGTATCAAAAAATAAAACTTCATTCTCCCAACTTTCATGCTAAAAAAAAAAAAAAAATAAGTTAAACTATTTATAAATAAACTCTGAATAATTTTAATTGTTTAAAAATTTGAATTGAATAGTTTATATACTCACAAATAATTGATTTTTTAAATTTTAAAGGCAATCATCTCTCTGTGTATGTATTATATCTGTGTGTGTGTGAACATTATATATATATATATATATATATATATATATATATATATATATATATATATATATATATATATATATATATATATATATATATATATATATATATATATATATATTTATACATATATATATATATATATATATATATATATATATATATATATATATATATATATATGTATAAATATATATATATATATACATATATATATATATATATATATATATATATATATATATATATATATATATATATATATATATATATATATATATATATATATATATATATATATATATATATATATATATATATATATATATATATATATATATATATATGTATATATATATAAAATATTTTTCAAAAGGGAGGATTTAATATAACTATTATTTGAGCTCACTTATTTTTATAGTTTTTAAGAAGAAACTTATTTTCATTTTATTAAATGCAGGCACAAAAAAAAGTTTCTCCTAAAAAACTATAAAAATAAGTGAGCTCAAATAATAGTTATATCAAATCCCCCTTTTGAAAAATATATTTTTTAAAAAAGCATAAGTAATCATTACTAAAGGAAGTCTTTTTATAATAGTGTCAGCTAATTCCACAAATGTGTGAAAATTAACACAAAATAGAAAATTTGTTGGGAAAAGCACCGATACCTACTGTGTCTCATAAACGCATTGTAAAAATGTTTCTTGATTACAATCAAAAGTATAGAAATATTATGAAGTCTGTTAACAAAACGAAACATACAGAGAAATTGAAGTCGAAAATAATAACATTTCAAAAGCATGCAGAAAATACTTTATTTGATGTTGCAGCATGCAAATGCCTTGATTTTACTAAATGCATCTGTAAAAAAGCAAAGAAGGTGCCAGAGAAAGAACATGAGTTTCTTAGCGATCAGAGATTTATGAGGATTATGTATATGGAAGGATTCAATATTCAAGCAACTTTAAGATAATGGCGAAAAGAAGCAAGAAAAAACAGAGTAAATACCCCCTTGCCATCTAACCCATCAAAACAGCCTTGTGCTATTACAGGTATTGAAGCTCAATCAACATTATCAAGCCGCATTCATAATTTAAGTTTCTATTCTATATCTCAAGATTCTGACTCTGATGACACTGTGATTTGGGTTACTGACTCAGAATCAGATGTTGATTATTTAGACACAGCTGAATCCACAAACAAAAAAGAAACAGAAAAGATAAAACTGAACAAATTAGATCACCGTTACTATCCTTAGTACAAGCCAGTGATAGAGTTGGTGTTTCAAGCAGAGGTGCTGTGCTGGAAGACATAAATATAATTTCAAAAGGAGACCAATCTAAAGTAATTGATAAAAATAAGATTCAAAGAGAACGAAAGAATAACAGACTTAAAATGCAACATTTAGATCATGAAAATATTCAAATGTTAGAAGGTTTATATTTTGATGGAAGAAAAGATACAACATTTGTTACTGATACAAACAATGGAATAAATATACGAAAAACTATCAAAGAAGAACATGTAGTTTTAGTACAAGAACCATGGTCAAAGTATCTAGGGCATGTAGAGACTGCATCAGGACATGGATACAGCATTAAGACAAGTATAAAAACATTTTAACTCAAACAACATTGATACATCCAAATTAGTTGCCATGGGTTAAATTAAATTGTGTGATACCTTGCCAATTGTCACCTACATTCCTGTCAGTATCACATTGCCAAAAATAGACAAAAAATCTCTTAGTTCTGATCAAAAATACTTACTTGGTATTTGCAAAGCTATATCTACAGATTATTGTCCAAACGCTTTGGCTAACCGAAATCCTGGAAAACTTAACCATGCCAGGTGGGTGACCACTGCAAACAGAATATTGAGGTATTATGTTGGATGTAGCGAACCATCACACAAACTGAGAGAAATAGTTGAGTTTGTTATTAGAGTTTACTGCCAAATGTGGTTCAATATAAGATATGATCCCTCATGCACGGAAGGTAGACATTTATGGCTAACCATCAATTTATCCAGGTATGCCAGTAGTGAAATAAAAAGTATCATCGATCCAGTTATACAAAGGATTGCTTTTTTTGCACATCCAGAAAATATGCTTCTGGATATGATATCGGATACTCGTCCAAATGTGAGAAAATTTGCATTAAAAGAAATAATAAAAGCAAGACCAATCAAAACAAACAAAGTTCGAAAGTTCTCTAAACCAGAAATCAATTTTGAAGCAACAGACTATATAGACCTTATTGATTGGATTAAATGTGAACTAAGTGAACCTCCAATTACCACTCACATTTCAGATGAAAATCTCATTCCATGCCATACTCAAGGAGTAGAGAGATGCATCAAACTTGTAACCGAAGCAACATAAAAAGACAGTTTGAGACAGAGACAAATGAATCAGATAGTTGAACATTATTACAGCTCAACTTTAAGCATTTTTCAAAAACATTTTCCACTCTATTAAAACTTTAATTGTACATTATGGACTGCTAAGCTTGTTTTCCAAAAACTAAAGAAACAGTGTTTTTTTGTCAAAACTCAGCGCACTAGCGTCAACTGAAGACATTAAAATATTTTCTTAAAAATTGTAACCATTTCTAACTTAGTCATTGTTTAATGTTTAAACTCTATTACAACTCTAGTATATGCATAGAATTTTTTATTTTTATTTTGTAAAAAGGATCAGAAAACATGTTTTTCTACGAAAAATAAAACCCTAGCGCGAAATTATTTTGTATTTTTTTTATGAAGACATAAAAAAAATACAAAATAATTTGGCACAATTACTTTTTATATCATTATGCAACTTTTCCGCTCTATTACAATTTCAAATTCAAAAAAAGTTGTTTTTCGATACACCCTAATATATATATATATATATATATATATATATATATATATATATATATATATATATATATATATATATATATATATATATATATATATATATATATATATATATATATATATAGTTAGTTAGTGGTAAACTAATTAACTAACTATATATATATATATATATATATATATATATATATAAATATATATATATATATATATATATATATATATATATATATATATATATATATATATATAGTTAGTTAGTTAGTATGCGTTGTAACGTTCAGCTATAGCAGCCCAATACTTTTTTTTTTTATTTTTTATTTTTAAATTAATATTTTCTTATTTTTCTTAAGCCATTCGTCTAAACTTGCTTTAAAACTATTCAAATTCTCGGAAACTACAACTTTTTCCGGAAGTTTGTTCCAAATTTGGCAAACTCTGTTTGTAAAGAAATGGATTCTGGAGGTAACCAATGCATGAAAGTCATTTATTTCGCGAGGAGTAAAACACTGCATTCTAATTTAATGTAAAACACTGCATTCTAATCTAATGGAAGAACATGGGCCATCTAATTTAATGCTTGACTTATAGACTAGTTTGACATTAAGATTGACAAACTCTAGATTATTTAATATCTTATATAAATGAATAAGGTCTCCTCGTTTTCTTCTGAGATTTAAATTAATTAAATCCATTTTAACTTTCCGTTTCTCATAACTTAGCATTCAGTTTGAGTATAGTATTTTTGTGGTCCTACGTTGAACTCTTTCAAGCATTGAGATTTCGGCCACATTCAGAGGACTACACGTTGGAGCCGCAAATTCAAGATGAGGTCGCACATAAGTAGTATACAAAATTTTCCACATATAACAATCTCTACTTTCAAAGGCATTTTTCAATAACCCTAGTATTTTTGAAGCTTTGTTAACACATACTTGCATTTGATGCTTCCACCTCATATCCGGTTGTACAAAGACACCAAGATCTCTTTCTAATACACTGTTTGAGAGGTCATAAATCATTCCATTTATATTAATTGTGTATGTTTTATCAATACCTCGAAAAACTTTCTGATTGCCGAATCTCATCACCTTACATTTTTTGCAGTTTAGTTCCATACCCCAATTGTTGCACCATTTCACAATGTCGTCAAGGTCAGTTTGTATTTCCGCTTGTTTATCAATGGAATCTTCTATGGCTATTATTTTGCTATCATCAGCATACATTTTAAATGTGTTTAGCACAACTTCTGGGAGATCATTTATGAATAGCAGAAACAACATTGGACCCAAAACTAGGTTTCCTATTTGCAAGAAAACTTTCAATCCAGTTATATATTTTACCAGTTATACCATACGCTTTAATCTTTGTCAATAGTCTTTTGTGTTCTACTTTATCGAAAGCCTTTGCGAAGTCAAGATATATGATGCTTAACGGTTTACCTTTTCAAATGTAATTGTGTCAATTGTCTCAAGATTTGTTGTGCGTGATTTTTTTGGAACAAAACCAGTTTGCTCCTCAGATATAAGTCTATTTGAAACTAAATGTTGCAGAATTGTGTCCCGAATGAACTTTTCGAACATTTTACAAATCACAGATGTTAGGTATACTGGTCTGTAGTTTTCAGGTTCAAGTTTTGATCCCCCTTTGTAAATTGGTGATATATTTGCAACAGACCAGTGGTAAGGGACACATCCAGTGTCAAAGCCTAATTTGAAAATATGAACAATTGGGTCCACAAAACCTTCTGCAGCATGCTTTAAAACAAACGGACTAATTTCATCAAAACCCATCGCTTTTGACTAATCTATACTTCTAACATTTTGAGAATTATTCATAGATAATCATATTAGATAATTTACTGCAATCACACTGGTTTTCGCATCTTTGCAAGAATTCGGGTATTGGTTGGTCATTATCATTAACAAAGACTGACTGAAATTGCCTATTTAATATATCTGAAATGTCTGATATCTCAGTTGTAACTTGATCTTTTTTGTTCTTGATTGCTCTAATTTGCGCTTTAATGTTTTGTTTTCTATTTACGTATAAGAATAAAAGTTATGGTGCATACTTTGCTCTCTTTACTAAATCCATTTTGTAATCTCAAGTTGATCTTTTGATTTGCTTTTTAACATTAGCACACATTTTGTTAAAAGCCTTTCGAGATTCTTGACTTTACAATGCAAATTTGAATCCAACCAGAGTTGACTATTCTTTTTTTTATTATTCAAAATAGGAATAAACAATCGACAAGATTCATTATATGTATGCAAAAATAACTCATAACATTTACAGGCTGATTTGCTGATTTGTTATAAAAATGCTCAACGCAGTTGACTTGTTTCAAGTATTTATTCATTTGAAAAAAATTACCTTTTTTAAAGCAAAACTTATCTTTTGTGAGTACTGTATTGTTACTAAGACTAGTAAAATATTGCCAAGTGATGGAGTAATGATATTTTCCCTTTTCATAGTGGCCTAACTGTGGACCACATTGAAGAAAATCAATGCAATTTGGATTGCAAACTAAAACAAGATCAAGGATGTTAACTGCTGAAACAGAGTCATTTTGTTTGAATGTCGGAAAATTTACTATTTGGTATAGAGAACAATCATTTAAAACTTTAATAAATTCCAAGTTTCTGCAATTGCAATAACATCAATTTAGATTTATAAGATTGGCTGATATGATCCTCTCCGGGCCTGCTTGGCAACGCTCTCTTTGACAAATGGGTGACCCTTGCGGTTGCCAATGTCTTTTGCTGTAGTGACGTCAAAATCACAGTAAATTTCCGCTTCTAATGACAAATTGAAAGGGCTGGTCTAGGTTATTATTGCGTTGCAAGTCCTTCTTCGCCTCCTTTCTTTCTTTATTTAATAGTGCAAATTCAGCCTGCTCATCAGGAGTGCGGTCAGGCTGTATATATACTTTTTTGTAGGCCTCAATAGTTGACAGTTCCCTTGCTGCAGCCAGCATCTTGTTTTGTGCTACTTCATTCTCAAATTCGACAACTAACGGTTCAGATGCATTGTTTACCAAGGGAACTTTAGATTTTAATCTGAATGTTGATTTTATTATTATTCGTCTGTTCAGCAAACGTATTAATTCGTTGATCATGTTCTCGTCATCTGTCTTGCAATCCTCAATTATAGTTTATTGTGAGTTAGGCAAACCAACAATTACAATATTTTTAGACTTTTTCCTGGGTAATATTTCATGACTTTTTGACACTTTGATACTAGCATTATACAGCTCAGAACCTGGTTTAGCTAGTTGCTTAGCAATTTGGCTGTAACAAACAGCAGGTGAACTAGAAGGTGGTAAATTTGCATTGTTTTCTTCTAGTCTTTTTACTTTCTCACTAAGTTCAGCTATTTCTGCACCTTTTTCCTTTAATTTCACTTAAAATAGTTTAGTTTGATGATTTAGTTTCACTTGAAAGTCATCCTTTAGAACTTCAAATGCTTTGTTAATCATCAAAGCTATACAATTCTTTTGTTGGTCAGTGAGTTTAGTCATATCTCAATCCTCGATTTCCACCAATGAAATGAAAGAGAAACAACCACTACAAACAACAGTGGATTACTTCTTTGATGTTGAGTTGGTCTTTATAGGAGGGCTACCACTCTGAATACCAGTGGATTACCTCCCGTTCAGAATTATTAGAATATTTTATATCTTATTACACAGGGACTAAAAAGTTTCAGTATGTGTTTTTTTCCATGTATATATATATATATATATATATATATATATATATATATATATATATATATATATATATATATATATATATATATATATATATATATATATATATATATATATATATATATATATATATATATATATATATATATATATATATATATATATATATATATATATATATATATAATAGGATGGTTCATCAAAACTTCTTGAAACATCATTAAAAAGATGTCTTATTAGACCTTTTTCTTTCTTTTATTTGAAAAATTACAAATGGCCATAATATAACTAAAAACTTTTAGGTAATATTAGGGCCTCTATTATGCCAAAAATATTGTAAAAAATATTCATTTTTATGAAAAAACTAGATTTTAGATTTTATTTTAAACTTTTTTTTTTTAATTTATAAAATGTCAACTGTGTTGAAACAATTAAAAGATTGTTATTTTTTACTTAGTTTTCTTTAACTAATTAATTATTTTTTGAAATTCTTATTTCATTTTCCGTTTTTTGAGTAGCTATATAATATAATATTAGAAATCATTTTTGGTAAATTTAGGGCCTCTGTAACTTTTTCATTTAAAGTTGGAAAAGAAATAGATAGTTCATTCTATAAAAAATACAATTTCCTAAATATATAAAGAAACAACTTTCTGCATAAGACAAAGCTTCATAACTTATTACACCAGTATCACACACACACACACACACACACACACACACACACACACACACACACACACACACACACACACACACAATTAAAATCAATAACTTCATTTTACCTTGAAATTCATAAAAAAATACCTTTTCCAACGACAATGAAAACTTTAAACCATGTTCTAAAATTTCATGAAAAGCAACTGTACTTTTATTATAGGAAAGAACCAATATATTTCCAACAATAGTCTGCAAGCAATCTAAACAGGCTATATTTGTCTAAAAAAATTAAAATTTACTTTAAACTGAAATTTAATTTTATAAAATTTTCTTTTTACTATATTTTAATCATTCAGACGTTTGGAAACTAGCAATACCAAAAGAGAATGGATAATCTAGATGTTTAACTTTACAAGATTTAAGTAATATGGTAGTGACACATTTGTCTCTTGCCTCATGAGCAAGATGTATAGAGTTTAAATAATACAATGCACTGGTATTAGTGTAATTAAATATATATTTGTATATATATAATAGCAAAACAAAAATGTGTAAAATGTTCACCTCTGCATAAAATCAACATTAGAATTTACATTCTTATAAAAAATAACAACTCACCTTAGTATTTGATTGTTTAAGAATGTGCAAAACTAAACACGATAATATAAGCAGATTTGATTCTGTAAAATAGTTCAATGGCAAACAGTTTAATCTCTAAATAATATTAATTATAATTAGTATTTTAACTTTTAATTTATTTAAAAACCAACAAATAAAAATAGAATTATTAAAAAAATATATATATTTTTTTATCTAATTTTATGATTTTCAATTTTATTCTGTTGTATTCAATTTTATTCTGTTGCATGTTGTATTACTGTATGTAATTATTAGCAATTATAAAATTGGTGAATAATATATATATTTTTTTAATACTCTATTACTATTTTTTAACCTCTCAAAATGTTATTTAGAACTGTCAAGTTATAGAAGAGAATAAAAAAAAAAAAGAAAAAAAAAAGAAAAGAAGCAGCAGCCTAAATATTCCCAATGATATTGATTCCACTAGAAAAATGTATACAAGTGAAAAATATATTTAAAAACTAAAAGAACTTACTTGAATCAACAAATATACATCAATTTTGGGATAACTATTTTCACTTAAATTTAATTCACTGACAAACTTGACAGCTATATTTTGATTAAATGATTCTATTATAGAATTTATCAAAGAGCTTTGAAATTCATTGTTATTATAGTGTTCTAATACTTGCAAAGATAAACAGTTGTTGTTGTTGCTAAAATTTAATCAATTAAAACAACTATAAATGTTCAAATTAACAATAATTAATAAACTACTTATATAAAAATAAAATTAAAATAAATTCAACTGAACTTATATATTTTAATTCATGTCAATGTTCAGTATTAGGAAAATATAAACAACAAATAATAGAATTTACCTTAAATGAACAAGCCATGATGCATATGTATATCTATTAATGATAGCTTTTGCATTCATTTTCAAAAAAACTGAAAAATTATCTTCTAATATTCTGAATAAATAAATTGAAAGGTTCTCCTCGGTTATTTTGAGCACCTAAAAAAACAAAAAGGTTCTCCTTAGTTATTCTGAGTACATAAAATAAACAAAAATTGAGAGGTTCTCCTCAGTTATTTTGAGCACCTAAAATGAAGAAAATTTTTTTTTTCATGCATGAATAATGCTATTATCAACAAAGAGTTATTAAATTCAGAGCTTACTCTCATAAAAGAATTTAAAACTTACATTATATTTTGAAGAGAGCCCATAGGAGTCTAAACACATCTTATCTGTAAAATACTGATTAAACAAGTCGATCAGCTGATCTGTACTACCACTATTTTGAAGCGTAAAAACCAGTAAACAAGCCTGTAAAACAAATTAATTTAAAGTTGAATCTAAGTTTTAAATTTTAAACATTATAAGTTGTTAAAAAATGAAGATAACAATTTACAACTATGTTAAATATACATTAAAAAATTAAAAGTTAAAAGCTTATTTTAAAATAATTTTCAACAAAAAATTTACTTAATTAAAGCTACAACATTTATTATGGATATCATTAAGGATGTTAAAACCAAGGAATGGTGGAAAGCTACAACATTTATTATGGATATCATTAAGGAGGTTAAAACCAAGAAATGGTGGAAAGCTACAACATTTATTATGGATATCATTAAGGATGTTAAAACCAAGGAATGGTGGAAAGCTACAACATTTATTATGGATATCATTAAGGAGGTTAAAACCAAGAAATGGTGGAAAGCTACAACATTTATTATGGATATCATTAAGGATGTTAAAACCAAGAAATGGTGGAAAGGTCAGCAGATCTTAGTTGAGTTTTTTTAAGTTTTTCTTTCATTGTACTATGATAATTACTTACTTTATTAATTTTATATTAAAAATACTAAAGTATAAAATATGTAAATTAATGTAAATAAAAATTCTAACCTATTTTGTAATATATTAAAAGCTGATATTTAATTTGACTTATAAAAGCTAAAAAAACTTATAAGTCAAATTATCATAAAAATTCATCTAAAATATTTACAGAACCTTAATGTATTTTTGAATTGGTGAATCGTTATCTTTTATAACATCAAGTGTCAAATCTGTTTCCATAGAGTAAAGTGAATACTGTTGCAAAAGAAGTTGAACACCAACAACACTATATTTCACCAATAGTAAAGTGTTACAAACTTTTATCTAAAAAAAATTAAAATTAAAAATATTAGATCAAAAATAACAAAACAAAAAAGAAAAAAAACGAAAAGAAAAAAGTTTTAATTGTATTTTTGTAAGTGTAGTAATAAAATGACTAATTTGTATGATTTTTTGTATCAACTTATAATGATGTATATACATGTGTATGTATGTATGTATGTATGTATGTATGTATGTATGTATGTATGTATGTATGTATGTATGTATGTATGTATGTATGTATGTTTGTTTTTATGTATGTATGTTTGTATGTATGTATGTATGTTTGTATGTATGTATGTATGTATGTATGTATGTATGTATGTATGTATGTATGTATGTATGTATGTATGTATGTATGTATGTATGTATGTATGTATGTATGTATTTATGTATGTATGTATGTATGTATGTATATATATATATATGTGTATATATATATATATATATATATATATATATATATATATATATATATATATATATATATATATATATATATATATATATATATACATTTCACAGTTTGCCAATTTTGGCCCTAACCCCAAATTGAGGACCAAAAAAATGACAATATGTTCAGTAAGAGACACTTGCAGTTCATTTGGCATTAAAATTAAAATCTGATTACACTGTCTAAGAGAGACAATTGAGTTTTAAGATGGTCTTTGAAACATTTTTAACATAAAAATATGCCAGTTGAATAAAATGATGGTAAATACCCGTCTATGTTTCATTAAATGATATTGTGATTTTTCATATATTTTATATGCTCTTGTTAAAATAGAATCATTTTGGGGTTTTCGTTCAAAATGTTTTGTAACTATTTGAGAACCAATTAGAAATAAAAATAAATACCAATTAGAAAGCAAAATTTTACACGTCATTTTTAGAACTGACAGTTTCTGTCAAAATTAAACAAATAGCATCACAACTTTTAAATCTGTATACAAACATAAAGTATCAAAAGGGCTGTCAAAAAAATCTCCACAACCAAGGTGACCACAGTCAATTCCAGCTCTACAACTCACATTTAGGAACTAGCAAATTGCAGGCAAAGAAGTACTTGATGTGATTCACAAAACTCTCATCTGAGCAGAGGATGTTTCCAAAGCTATCTAGAAACATATGATGGAAACCCACCATCTGCTTGGGGTGGTGAATCATCTTTAAAAAGGGTTGTAACCACATTAAAAGTAGCCTCCTCGACTGTAGTGGCCTTCATGGCCTTGAATATTTTTTAAGTAAAACTTGTTTTTGTAAAGTGTGTCTTGTTTCAAACAATTTAAAGCCTGTTTTGTTGTAAGAAAATTTGTCAAGGAAGAATTTTTCATGTAATTTTTGAATAATTTATGATTAGAAGGAAAAAATTAGAAGGAACATTGACGCTTTTATTACTCTCATTACTAATTTTTATTGTCTACAACAAACCTGTTACTTAAAAAAGAAATAAATAAAGCAGGCAACACAAGTTTTCATTTTTTTATATCCTTATAAAAAAAAATAATAATTAGAGGCACAAAAATTATCGACGACATAAAAAAAATACGGAAACATAACGTAGGCTGAAAGAAAAATGAACATTTTTTTCAAAAACAATAAAAACCATTCTTCTAGTTTCCTCACTTTAAAGCACCATAAATGATCTCACATATGGCTTGTTTTTTACGGACTAACTAAATGGCAGGCGTTTTTTTCAGAGGTGCCTGAAAAAAATGCCATAAAATTAGTTTATTTTTATTTGATTTATCATTAAAACAAAAAAAAGTGCAATATGACTTGACAGGGAATCTAACTACAGTCTCCATTGTCATTGTCCAGAACAATAACCTATCGGTCAAGCGAACATTTAAAAGTTATAATTTAATTTGTATATATATTTGAAGATTTTTTTTAAACTGGGATCCTGTGCCGCAAACAAAAGGTTTTGGGGTCGTATAAATTATCTAAGGTACCTACTCCACCTTTTTTTTTCTTCATTAAACTTTATTATTAAAAAATGTTGGGGGGAGGGGAGGGGAACCAGGCTAATTGAAAAATGTATATAGTTTTTAAGGAGCGGGGAAGGGGTGGAAATTAAAAATACGGATGGCAACAGGGTAGAGGGGGAGGTCAAATTTCAAAATATTTGGTGTTTGTACTTTATGGACAACCCCTAATGGAGATGTAATAAGTAAAAAACAATAGATGAACATTTATAAGTGTAAACGTCAGTACTACTGACTGTAAATAAGTTGATTTTGCAGATTGTATATTTATGAATTAAGTATGAATAATATGAAAAAACTTTAAAATTTTTCTTACAATAAAGTCTTTTTGCTTAAACTATTTTGTTTTGAATTCTATAAAAAATAAATAAAAAATAACTCCCTATAATATATTTGACATAACTCTATATAATATATTTGACATAACTCCCTATAATATATTTGAGATAACTAGCTCTCTATAAATCATTTTAAATCATAAGAAACTTTTTTGCTTTGCAAATAAATATAATCTTAATGAAAGGGTTCAAAGTTTATTGTATCCTTAAATTTTGAAAAACACTGAAAGAGATGTTACACAATTGTCATCTATGTTAAAGATACTTATTTTATCTGTTTACATAATCAATTAAGTAAATCTTAATTATAATCGCAGTAAAAAGAATTTTCTTTCTTAAAGATGTTAAATTTAAACTTATTCTTTTGTAATAAACAGGGTGAAAGTTTGAAAAAACTAAGTATGCAGAAGAGTGTGCATGTTAATTTTCTTTGTTCTAAAAGCAATTTATTAAATAAACTTTTTTTTCTACTGTTTACTAAAAATATTGAAGTAAATAGAAAATACGTATAGAAATGGATGGTGTTGAATAGATTTATTAAGACCAGTATTTAGAAATGGATGGTGTTGAATAGATTTATTAAGACCAGTATTTAGAAATGGATGGTGTTGAATAGATTTATTAAGACCAGTATTTAGAAATGGATGGTGTTGAATAGATTTATTAAGACCAGTATTTAGAAATGGATGGTGTTGAATAGATTTATTAAGACCAGTATTTAGAAATGGATGGTGTTGAATAGATTTATTAAGACCAGTATTTAGAAATGGATGGTGTTGAATAGATTTATTAAGACCAGTATTTAGAAATGGATGGTGTTGAATAGATTTATTAAGACCAGTATTTAGAAATGGATGGTGTTGAATAGATTTATTAAGACCAGTATTTAGAAATGGATGGTGTTGAATAGATTTATTAAGACCAGTATTTAGAAATGGATGGTGTTGAATAGATTTATTAAGACCAGTATTTAGAAATGGATGGTGTTGAATAGATTTATTAAGACCAGTATTTAGAAATGGATGGTGTTGAATAGATTTATTAAGACCAGTATTTAGAAATGGATGGTGTTGAATAGATTTATTAAGACCAGTATTTAGAAATGGATGGTGTTAAATAGATTTATTAAGACCAGTATTTAGAAATGGATGGTGTTGAATAGATTTATTAAGACCAGTATTTAGAAATGGATGGTGTTGAATAGATTTATTAAGACCAGTATTTAGAAATGGATGGTGTTGAATAGATTTATTAAGACCAGTATTTAGAAATGGATGGTGTTGAATAGATTTATTAAGACCAGTATTTAGAAATGGATGGTGTTGAATAGATTTATTAAGACCAGTATTTAGAAATGGATGGTGTTGAATAGATTTATTAAGACCAGTATTTAGAAATGGATGGTGTTGAATAGATTTATTAAGACCAGTATTTAGAAATGGATGGTGTTGAATAGATTTATTAAGACCAGTATTTAGAAATGGATGGTGTTGAATAGATTTATTAAGACCAGTATTTAGAAATGGATGGTGTTGAATAGATTTATTAAGACCAGTATTTAGAAATGGATGGTGTTGAATAGATTTATTAAGACCAGTATTTAGAAATGGATGGTGTTGAATAGATTTATTAAGACCAGTATTTAGAAATGGATGGTGTTGAATAGATTTATTAAGACCAGTATTTAGAAATGGATGGTGTTAAATAGATTTATTAAGACCAGTATTTAGAAATGGATGGTGTTGAATAGATTTATTAAGACCAGTATTTAGAAATGGATGGTGTTGAATAGATTTATTAAGACCAGTATTTAGAAATGGATGGTGTTGAATAGATTTATTAAGACCAGTATTTAGAAATGGATGGTGTTGAATAGATTTATTAAGACCAGTATTTAGAAATGGATGGTGTTGAATAGATTTATTAAGACCAGTATTTAGAAATGGATGGTGTTGAATAGATTTATTAAGACCAGTATTTAGAAATGGATGGTGTTGAATAGATTTATTAAGATCAGTATTTAGAAATGGATGGTGTTGAATAGATTTATTAAGACCAGTATTTAGAAATGGATGGTGTTGAATAGATTTATTAAGACCAGTATTTAGAAATGGATGGTGTTGAATAGATTTATTAAGACCAGTATTTAGAAATGGATGGTGTTGAATAGATTTATTAAGACCAGTATTTAGAAATGGATGGTGTTGAATAGATTTATTAAGACCAGTATTTAGAAATGGATGGTGTTGAATAGATTTATTAAGACCAGTATTTAGAAATGGATGGTGTTGAATAGATTTATTAAGACCAGTATTTAGAAATGGATGGTGTTGAATAGATTTATTAAGACCAGTATTTAGAAATGGATGGTGTTGAATAGATTTATTAAGACCAGTATTTAGAAATGGATGGTGTTGAATAGATTTATTAAGACCAGTATTTAGAAATGGATGGTGTTGAATAGATTTATTAAGACCAGTATTTTTAGAAATGGATGGTGTTGAATAGATTTATTAAGACCAGTATTTTTAGAAATGGATGGTGTTGAATAGATTTATTAAGACCAGTATTTTTAGAAATGGATGGTGTTGAATAGATTTATTAAGACCAGTATTTTTAGAAATGGATGGTGTTGAATAGATTTATTAAGACCAGTATTTTTAGAAATGGATGGTGTTGAATAGATTTATTAAGACCAGTATTTTTAGAAATGGATGGTGTTGAATAGATTTATTAAGACCAGTATTTTTAGAAATTTTTGTATTTTTTATGTATTTATTTTTTTTTTCATTTTTGGGATCTGATCAAAAAAATCAGAGTATTTGTTTGCTTTAAATTTTAATAAAATTTATTTAATATTTAATAAAAAAATTATTTAATATAGAAAATTTTAAATTATTTAATAAAAATTAATCAAAAACTAATTAATTAATCATGTAATTTGAAAATTATTCATTAAGCAAATAAATTAAAATATCAATTGTTTATGTAAAAAAACTAACCTGCAATTTTTTGTTTTTTATTTGCATAGCTTGCAATCTTATGGCTTCATTATTTAGTGAGTGTAAAATTTCTGTAAATGTTTTTAAAGCAGGTTTCATATAACCATTCACTGGAACTACCGTTGCATTGATAATAACCAGATAGCATAATAAAAAAGCTTCAATTTCCAAATTAAAATACTCTGAAAAATGAAATTGATTTTAATTTAACTAATACAAACAAAATATAAAATAATAGAATAATAATAACATATCAACACATATATCATGACACATATACATATATACTCATATAATATATCATACTATAAGGTACTTAGTATTTACATATACAGTATATATATACAACTCTGGATTACTTGCTACTTTAGTGTTGCAACTCCTAATTTTAAAAATATTATCATCCTTTTGAAAATATTTTCTAGTTCCAATATATAATTTTTAACAAAGCACTCCTTCTAGGTAAAATTGCATCAAAATCTGCTTCTTCATGCGTGTTCAAATATATATTTTTTTCATCCTTAGCACCCCTAACATTTTTAAAGTTAAATTAGCCATTTATGCATTAAAGTGTTTTTATTTCTTCGCAGTAAAATGAATTGAATAAAACATCAAATTTTGCATAATAATTCTTTAAATACTTGAACATAAATACTTGAACATAAAACTGCGCTGCTCATTTTTAAAAAAAAAACATTTTTCATTAGCATGGAAATCTAAAAAAAATTAGTTTTGTCATAATTAGACACAAAGTTGTAAAGTTGTCAACAATAAAAATTGTTGTTACAAATGGGCATTTATCTAGAACTTGTTAGGAATTTGATATCAAGCAGTAATTTAAAAAGCCATCTGTTTCTTGTTTACAAAATTATAATAGGCAAACCGGCTGGTAAAGTGAAAAATGATCAACTTTTATATAGACAGCGTAATAAGTCTATAGCTAGTTTATCAAAAAACAGCCACAACTTTTTTTTCTACAGATGTACTACCTTTCTCTAATGGTGATGATAATGGATTTTAAAACTTATTACAAGAAAAAAAAACTAAATTTATTTGAAGAAAGGAAAAAAAAACTTTGTTTGAGATTAAAATTAAATTTGTTTTGTTGAAAACAATCCACCTTGTGCAGCCAAAAACTAGCAACTTTGTTGGTCAGCCAGAATCAGCTAGTAGACCAAGTTTCTCAGCTTGTAGCCATCTGCATTAACATTTAGCCAGAAATCGACATGTTCTAAGCATGACCTAAAACTTTACTTGTTTTAGGTCATGCTTACCACTTCCTTTGCAGAAAATGTTATTTGCATTTTTTGCAAACTTTTTAATATTACAACATTTTATGTCAAATTTTATAAACAAGACTAATTTAGCTGTACTTATCAACGCAATTATTTAAACATATCAATCTAATTTATATTTTTTCCTTTGGTTTTTAGATACCATTAGATTGTCTATCAACTTTTTGCAAATCTATATTTATATCTAATTTTGTAATAATAATAATAATAATACAGTATAGCTGTAACAACTGGTGTAAAACAGTTGCAAAAAGCAATAACAAGGTGGCCACTCAAATTTGAAAATGAAATTCCATGACATTTTCATGACTCTTCATAAACTTTTAGGATAAACCACTAGAGTAAAATATTCATTACTTGCCATGCACTAAGCATTTACAACCTGGTCATTATAAAACATGCAAACTAAAAACTAATTGGTAGAAAGTTCTGAAATGATGTCTAAAAACACTGCAAAAAATATCTTTTTCAAAACAGAGTTAGACTAGACATATTAGTACTTTTATTTGCATTCTAAAAATACCGCAATTAGAAAAAAATAAAGATAATTTTAAAAAATTCAATGAATTTTCTATGACTTAATGAAAATTTAGGAAATCCATGACTTTTTCCATGACCAAATAAAATTCTATGACATTTTCATGATTTCCATGACCAGTGGCCAACCTAAATAACAGTAGATATTGCACTGTAACAGCTCAGTTTGCTTTTTGTTTATGTTTTAACAAATAGTTTCTGCAAAATTCAGATTTGTCTAGTTTATTTTTGAAGTTATTTATTGAAACAGCTTCTATTATTTCAGATGGTAAATTGTTCCATGCATTTACATCTCCATTTTGACAAAAGTGATATCTGAAGGTAATTTTGCAAAAAGATTTTTTCAGTTTGAATTTTTGTTGTCGTTAATATGGAATTCTTTTGATGTATTTTGATAACTGTTTGTAACTCAATTTATTTTTTCATGGCCATGTTGAATTTTAAAATGTTGAATAAGATCTCCATGTAGTCTGCGTTCTTCTAGTGTCATTAATTGCATAATATTTAACCAAGCTTAAAATTATAATTTTTTAATTTCAGGTGCCAGTTTAGTTGCTTTTTTTGGATAATCTAAATTTTGATATTAATGCTGATATTAACGGCAAAATATTTTTTTTTCACGATTTCTTGTGAAGCTTTTATGGCTTATATGTATGTGTTTCATAAAGTAACTGAACTTTTGGATCTAGTTGCAAAGTTATGCAAGAATTTGTTACATAAATCAAGAACATTTATTTTACTTTTATTTTATTTTATTTTAACAATATTTATTCTAAACTGCTTCATTTTTTAAAAATGTGCCATTACAAAATTTACTGGTACGGTCTGATAGGTGATGAACAATCTGAAAATGTAGAAATTTTTTTAGCAAAACAAAAGTAGTTCACATTTTTAGATAATCTAATAGATAATTACCCAGGTCAATGATTATCAGATTCCATAATGCTGTAATTTATTTCACATTAGCGGTTAATTATGTTGAAAAAATATATATTTTCACGCACTTTATGTAGTTAATCAATTAGTTTAGACATCATCCGGTGAAATATTTCAATATCAGTTTAGACAACAATAATTGTTTTATTACAGACATTTGATAAATTATATGTTTGTATGATTTTGAATGAATATTATAAATGTTAATTCTAAATAAATTATTATTCAAACAGTTATATTATTGAACTCGAAATAAATAAAATTTATATATGTAAATGGGTGCCACAATCGCCCTTGACCTTAATATTTATTAAGTATACGTAATGTATATACTTCTTTGGTTTTCCTAGCTTTACTACACTTCTCAAAATAAATAAAATTAATATATATAAATGACTATAATTATATTAATTATAAATAAAATTAATATATATAAAAACAAGCGTCACAGGAACTTCTGAAAACCACTGATAACTGGTAGCCATTCTGAAATAGTGTCGCCGAGAACCACTCTCTATTTTCTGTTAGTTAAAAAGTTTTCTATTAATTATAGAAATTTCTCACCATACGATATGATTGAAGCTTAGTGATCAAACAAGAGTGTGGTACTTTGTCAAAACCCTTTTCAAAGTCTAAATATAACATATCAATTGTGTGGTCATTTTCTAGTGCATCTGTTATGGTATCAAGAGTTTCCAATAGGTTTTGTTTTTATTTTTTCTGAACCAATGCTGATTTCATTTAACAAGCAGTTTTTTATTAGGTAATCCATAATTTAATCTAGAATGATTGATTTCAAAACTTTACATTAGATAGAGGCCAATGAGATTGGCCTGTAATTAGATGCATTTTTAGTTTTATCTTTCTTAAAAATCTGAGTTATATTTGCAGAATATACAGAGTCTAGGTAATTGTTTCTCAGTCAACGATTTTATATATATTAAATTTAATGATTCACAGAGAATACTATGAGATTTACTTAAGACATATCGGCTTATCCCATCTACTATAACAGATTTGTAAACATCTAATTTTTTAAATTAGGAGTTATTATATTGTTTATATCTACTTCTAGAACAATTTTCTTCTGCAGCATATTTGGTATGTTATGTCTATCTTCGTTAACAAAAACTGAAGTGAAACTATTGTTTAAAATATTTGCTATAGATTCTCTATTTTTTAATGTTATTATATTCATCAGACATTGAAGCTGTTCCTCCTTTAACTTTTTTGATAAAATTAACATAACTGTAAAATAATTTGAGATCTTTTTTTGATGTTTCACTTATTCTTTTTTAGTATTCAATACGTTTTAACCTCACCATGTTTTTAACTAATTTACTTTGTATTTTGTATTGTTAAACCAAGTTGGGTGACTTGGATTTATTTGATATTAATTTATTCCATAAGGTTGTTTAATGTATGATTCCAGTCTTCATTTTTTTGTCAATCCATGGTATTACAGACTTTTTTAGGTATATAACTGATACTTCGTGATATTTATTTACAAAGATTTTGTAACATTCATCAATGTTTTTATTAGAGAAAAGATGTGACCATTTTATACTATGGAATGAATTGTTCATTTCTTGATAATTTCTAGCTTTGTAGTTTAACTTTGATTTCCCATAAGAAATTTTTGATGTAGTTGGTTTTTTTAAGATGTAATTCCAATACAATATATGATATGCATTATTTAAATTGCTTAATAGAGGATTATAGCCTATGATCCAGATACACTCTGGTGCATTGGTTAAAATCAAATCTAAGTATTGCCTTCAGACAGTATGCCTGAATTAAATGTTAGTTTTATGACGTTTTGAGTCAAAAAGTTGTCATTTGTTCAAAAATATTTGTGCTAGTCAATCATTTTTTAACACTATTTAGATATTCTCATCATTCCATTTTATATTTGGGTAATTGAAGTCTCTGGTTAACAATAACTCAAATATTTGGTGCAAGCAACACTTTTTTTTGCTATCTTTATTATTTTATTGATTTTTTGATTTGTAAGTACTGTAGCATTAGGTAGACGATGCTACCAATTAAGATCTCATTTTCTGTTCTAATGACACACCAGACTTCAACTATCATTTCTTCAGATGCTAGGAGTATAACTAATGTATTTTTTATTTAACATAGATAGAGACACCTCCACCATGACATTTAGTTGAGTTAGCTTTGATCGATTAATGTGAAAAACATTATACCCATTTACATTTATGATACTTGATAAGTCAAACCAAGTTTCTGTTACAATAAATAAGTCTTATAATATATAATAATATGCTACTATTTCTAACAAAAACAAATCAAATTCATTGTTTAGTGAAGTTGCATTTGTATATCTTCAACATAGATAATATTTGGGTACAATGAATAAGTCTAATAATATATAATAATAAATACACTGCTATTTCTAACATTTATTGTTTAGTGAAGTTGCATTTGTATATCTACAAATAATATTTGGGTATTGATTTGCATCAAACAGGTAATATTTAAGTATTGATTTGCATCAAACAGATAATATTTAAGTATTGATTTGCATCAAACAGATAATATTTAAGTATTGATTTGCATCAAACAGATAATATTTAAGTATTGATTTGCATCAAACAGATAATATTTAAGTATTAATTTGCATCAAACAGATAATATTTAAGTATTGATTTGCATCAAACAGATAATATTTAAGTATTGATTTGCATCAAACAGATAATATTTAAGTATTGATTTGCATCAAAACGGATAATATTTAAGTATTGATTTGCATCAAACAGATAATATTTAAGTATTGATTTGCATCAAACAGATAATATTTAAGTATTGATTTGCATCAAAACGGATAATGTTTAAGTATTGATTTGCATCAAACAGATAATATCTAAGTATTGATTTGCATAAGAATACTTTTGATTTAACATAAAACATAAGTTTAACATTTTTGAAATTTCTTATAGTGTAGCGGTATTCGTTGTTTAGGCAAGCATTTAAGAATTCAACTTCACTAAGTAACTGTTTAATGAGATCTTTTTCAAATTCTGTCATATCTTGGTTAAAATAGATGTCATTCATCTTGTTTCTGTTAATGTATGCAGCTTTTAATACACTTAATTTGTCTAACGGGTTATCTAACTCAATGATAACTGGTGGTATTTTTGACGTGTCTCTTGTTTTAAGTTTGATTACTTTTTTTATTCAAAAAATTTTTTTACCATATTTTCATCAGATTATTTCCTGTCAATATTATCATGATTTGCTAACTTAACACCAAATATAATAATATTTTTTCTTTTATTACATTCTTTTTCATCATGTAGAACCATGTTTATCATACCATTTTGGCTTTGATTTATTTTAACTTTTCTTTTTATGACTTCACTTCAATTAATAAGATCTTTTGATTTATTTTGGCCTAATTTATTTTCTAATTCATTTACTTTTACTTCAAGATTATTTATCAAAATATCTTTCTCATCTATTTTTTTTCTAATTGCTCGATTTTTTCTTCCATTTCTTGTAGTTATATATTTATTTCTGATTTTTTGGTGGCATTTTGAAAATGAAACCAAACCAAAACAACTATCATCAATACACCAACTTCAAGTTCTTTGATAGGAGGGCTACCAACCTGAAACAGTGGGTTACCTCTGGGTTGTGAACTTATTAACGAATTTGAACTGTTAGTTTTTTGTTTTTCGTTGGTCTTATAAACACAATAAAACAAGGGTTGTTAATGTGTTTTTTTCTGTCTTTATTTTGTAAATATACACTACTGTCCATAATTATTCAAATGGTCATATATTTCATAATAAAACTTCATAGTTTTACTTACAATTGGAAGAGAAACTGTAAGGAAAGTCTACCTAAATTATATGCTATCTTCCTTTTTATTAGATTTACAAAAAATTTAATAAAAGTCAGATTAAATTAATTTATAATTTACTTGCCTTTTAATCAATCTTAGCAACAATAACCACCATACATATTCTTGGCATTCTACTTAACAACTTATCCAACTGATAGAAATCAATTTTATGCCACTAGCTAATAAGTTGTGTCCACATCTTATGCATAGTTTGGCATTAATTTATGACATTACTTTTACTTCCTCCCATAAAAATCCGCTAGAAGAAGGATCTTGTGATTGAGAAGGCTAAATCATTTTATTAACAAGTTTTTGAAAAAATATGTTTTGGATTTAAGTTTTAAACCATTTTCTTTTGAAAAAATGAATAGCTTCTCATTAACCCATCTTTCGGAAGGTGTAGCACAATTTTTTAGGTGTACAAGTACTACTTTTATCATTACTCCCTCTATTTTCACTAAGTCACCTGTGTCATTCTAACCAAAACACCTTAACTACATCTACCATGTTTTACAGTCAATAATACACATTATTTTATCATAAATTCAACAATTTTTTTTTCTAGACAAATAATCTTATCTTGAAACCAAAGATTTACAACTTCGATACGTTGGTCCACATTTACAGTCATTGATGGTCCATTTTTAATGTAGTTTTGCCCACTTAAGCATTATTATTATTTTTGTTTAAAGCATTTTGACCAAAATACCTTTAAATTATCTAATAGAGCAAAAATAAACATAAAAAATAGCATTTTTAAAAAAAGTTAATGCCATTCAAATAATTACGAACGGTAGTTTAATTAATATTTATATATAAAATATATAGGTTAAAACTATATATTTACTAAAGTTTTATGTTTTTAAGTTTCATTATTATTATCATTATAATCATTACTATTTATAATATAAATTAATTATAAAAGAAATTAATTATAATTAATATTTTATATTATCTTGTATTAAATTTTTTTTTAAAAAGAAACTCACTTCAAACAAAATTGAAAGTAAGTAGTAATTAAGTTGAGAATTAAGTAAAAAACAAAAGTTGATGAAAAACTTAAAAAAACAGTAAATTGTATGATTCTGGAAAATATGAAGATGGTAACTCATATTTTAGTACAAAAACTAGACAAATAAAAATTTTATTAGCATGAAGTAAAAGTGACAGTAAAAGGATGCAACTTTGCTTAATGACAAGTCATACTGGGATGATTGCTTGTTTAAGCAAAAACCATGGTAGTAGGAACAAAAAAGATTTTAAATCTAACAACAGTGAAGCAGAGGTTTACAATTTGTATTTGGACTTTTTCTAAATGTTAGAGAGCCTCAACAACCACTCACACATGACAATAGTATACAAAATTGAACAAGGGATTTATAGAGAATAGAATCTACATAGAAAATAATTTCTTAAAACAGAAAAATTGTGAGAAAACCAATAACTTTTTATATTGACAAAACTACTGATTACAGTCATACTTTTATTATATCTTTTTTTTTAACTAATTCCACCTCTAATAAGGATGCTAACTACCACTATTAAAATGGGAGGAAACAAAGAGTAGTGTTAAAAAGCAAGGAAATGGTTGACAGAAGACTTAAAAGTTTTGTAAGTAATATGGAGTATGAAGATGGGAGAGAATTGAAAAGCATTGACGTGCAAGGAAAAAAAAAAGATGAATAACGATTTTTAGAACATAAAGGAACAGATATTGAGGCAGGATGCAAATTTGAAGTCATAAAAAAAGGTTAATGGAACTAGAGATAATAGTTAGTTAAAGCAGTTATCATGATAGTATTTGTAGAAAAGAGAAAGAGGTACAACCTTACGACAGAAGAGGAGAGTGAAAAAAGAGAGTGGTTGAGCTTGGCAAATACAGCAGGTATAACTACATTTAGATTGAAAATCTAAGGACAGAAAATACATTTTGTAATAAGTTTATGAAATAGTTACTTAATTTAAAAAGTAAAAAATATTTTTATTTTTTAAACAAAGTTAGATTGTCTAAAAAACATTAAATTTTTACCTGTTTTTACTGAAGTCGTTGTTATTTGTTTGAGTTTTTGTAGAAATATATCACAAAGAGAACACACTTGTGGCAGCTCTAGCTCAGATATTATTATTGAATATCTAATAAAAAATGAGTTAGTTAAAATTATCCATTTTCTTATATTAGAAAATCATTATTCATACATTATAGACAACAACAAATCCTCAAAGTGCTATTAGAATTTATTTAAAGCAAAAAGAATTTACAATTTTATATATTCTGTAAATCTTTATAATCAGTTAGCATAGCTCTGTCATTATTTTTCGTGAAGACGGTGGAGTAGGTACAAAGTGTGCTATTGGAACATTTATGTTTAAATATTCATGTAAAATTTTATGTTCTTTAGTAGTTTTATGTGTATTGATTATTATTGTTTTTTTATTAATATTTATATTATTAATATTATTATATTTTTATAAATAATATATTTATTTATAGTATTATATTTTTAAATTAAATGTGTATAAAAGAGTACACAATCAACATGGTGGCTGCCCATATAGTTGTGCAGTGCACAATAGGGTATATCATACTAGAGCCAAAAAATAAATTTTTAAAATTTTGACTAGCACGCTTGGGTTCCTATGTATTTGGGTTTAGGAAATTCAAATATAATAATATTTTTACAAAATATTGATGTCTAGCTACCGGGAAACGGGTTTTAAAATAAGGTTTTTTTTTCAAAAATTAGTCTATTTTAACTAAAGCTTAGTTTTGGAAAGATTTTAGTCAATTAATACTAAAAATTACAATTATATTAGGTAAAAAGTAACCTATGCGAAATAAAACAGGTATAATTATTATTTAACTTCCAGGATTCTAGATCCAGAGTGCGTAAAAAGGGCTACGGCTCCCCCCCATCCTTTTTTTCAATATTTGATAGTTTTATTATGATTATAAGATCAAGGTATATTACAATTATTATTATTATTATTATTATTATATATATATATATATATATATATATATATATATATATATATATATATATATATATATATATATATATATATATATATATACCCACACACTGGATTAGAAGCAAGGGGAGGGTGCGTAGTGCGAAAGCCCCCTCCCCTCAAACTTACTCAAAATACCCGTTTAAATTAAAAATCTTGCTGTTGTTATTTTGCTACAAATTTTCTTTTCAGCCCCCTAACATTCTTTTAAGATCAACATAAAAAACAAGAATTTTTTCAAACATTTAATGTTATGCACAACAAAGTTTAAATAAAATCAAAAAATACCAAATTAGTAATTAAATAAGCTACTGAAAGTCTTTTTTTGACTTAAACAAAGGCATTAGTTCACGATTTCGCAATTGTGTTCTTATAAAACCATCTCTTTTATCCCAACCACAGACTGACTCAGCTGCTTCTGTGACTAATTTGACTGCTCTCTCGCAACTTTGAGTATGTAATGAGTATGGAGGTAGCTGCAGGGGAGAAACTATCAATGCATTGAGTTGGACTAACGACATGTTTGTAGTGAAAATTGGTTCAGTAACAACCTCTTTTTTCTAATCAATAAGTTCTTTAATGTCACATGCATCAAGGTTTATTGTTTATGGAACTTTAAAAGGTCTAACATCATTTGAGCCCAGCTCACTTCCCTTCCTAACGGCCAATATTGTGTCGACTGCAAATAACCTTTGTTCTGACTTATCAGAACAGAGAAGCGAGACAAGTATATTCTCAGGATGAGCCCACCAAGATTCATTTCTGAGATAAAGTTTAGATGCTTCTTTAATCCTATCATCTTGCTTCTGCCAAAGTCGAAACAGCTTTAAAAGATGACAAGAACCGTATTTAATGTCATGCTTTACTTTAATCTCAAAGAACACTGAAAGATAAACCTGAGTCACCCAAGTTGCAAGCAGTTATAAGATCTCTGCATTATTAGGTTCAAGATCATGCTTACTCATATAGAGAAGCAAGCATCTCATGCCACAAGTAAGCCATCGACTGTGAGACAATCTACCACATTTAAGAGCTTCTACTTCAGGATCAAGCTTTCCTTTCAGAATTGCATTCAAGTACTTCCATGCAACTAAACTGTCAGTGCTCATTTGCTTTAAGAAATCTTCACTGATATTAACAAGAGGCTCCAGAAGCGAAATAGGAGTAAATTGAGTAATTCTTTCAAGATTATCAACTTTGGAAAATAGTTTACCTACTGCTCCACACCATCCTTTATCTGAAGAAGTTGGTCCATCAAGTTTTTCAACAACATGACGGAATGGAAGCTCATTAATGTGAAGCCAACAAAAAGATCTAAAAAGTTTTCAATTGAGAAGTTCTTCCACAAAATGAATCATTCCACCTTTCCATCCAGACATTTCATTTGTAGTATCACTGCCAATTAGTTGGAGATTAAGATCTTTACCTTTTTCCATTAACCAGTTGAATAATCCAATAGCACATTGCTTGGCTGGTTTAGATGTTTCCGATTTAGGCTTTGGTGTATAATGAGTAAGGTAAAGACCTCTAGGTTTTTCTGTCACAGTTATATGATTTTCTTTGATAATTGTTTTTCTGAAGGTGCCTGTGGTTTTATCATGGATAAGAATTAAAGTTTTGTCTTTTCTACCATCAACAAAAATTGATTATATTTCAAACAGTGATTATATTTCTTTCACAGTCGAAATTTTCTTCTATTCTGGAATACTTCATAGCACGCTCTTTGGCACGAAAAACTTTCATGCTATCACATATAAGATTTTTTTTATCTTCAACAAGTTTCCCTGCTTTCATAATATCTTTCAGTAGACCATTAATGATTGCAGCAGTAGCAGTCGATGATACACCAAATCTAACAGAAGCAACGGCAGCATTACTAATATCAAAGTAGTTTGGTCGAGTCCTCTTTGCTATCACTGACTATATCACTGTCACTAACTTTATCGATATCACTGACTTCTTCACTATCACTGACTATCACATCATTTGAATTATTATGCATTTCCATTGTAACATCCACATTTTCAACATCAAATCTAACAGCCGGTGGATAAAATGTTTCTAATGACTCTAACTTTGAAGCTTTGAAGCTTCTTCTCGTTGTCGTGCGAGTCTTGCTTGATCAATTGACTTGCGTAAGTGTTTGCGTAAGTTTAACCTAAGTTTGGCAGTCTCTTTAACATCCAAACCAAATTCTTGCATAGATGAAATACTGCCTTGTTTTTGTCGCTGGTTTTTTATTTAAATAAGCTCTTTTTGAGGAATTCTTAAATTTAAGTCACATTTGCAAAGGCAATGAGCACCGCTATCACAAGATTCTTTGCAAGGGGGATCATTCTCACTGCAGTAAACAATTCTGCATGCTTAGGCTCCCAGTGTTTTATGTAAGATTTTTGAGATTTGTTTCTAGCTTAGAGAATGCAGACCAACTTCTACTGAGTCTTAGTGTTATTCCTTTTGTTCCACAAACTATGGGTTCTTTAAATTCTTTAAAAAAGGAAATAAGCCATCGTTCTGCAACCTCATAAGCAACATTAGAAAAAATTTCTTGCATTGATAAATTACACTGATTTTTTTCATAGACTAGTATTCTGTCTCGCTGCAGATCCAGACAACGCTGTAAACAGTCACGTAAGGTTGGAGATTCAGTTTGGAGGAACTTTCTAGGACCTCCAAAATACTCACTTAGTTTGGTGTTAATTGATTTTCTGGTTTTCTTGCTAACTAATAACGCCATTTTTCTTTTTTTAATATATTATGAGTCTGAAAGACATAAAGGCAGCAATAACAGCAATTAATTTGAAATTAAATTTAAATAGTAATTATAATATTTATAAGGTATATTTGTATATTAACTGATACTTATACATAAAATCATTTTTAAAAAATCTCAAAACATATTATCAAAATTAAGCATAGGGCTAAACAGTATTTTAAAGAATTATTATGTACATTTATAGCATAAATAGTCATCAATTAGAAAAAAACACAATATTTTTGGAAAATTAAAAACGTTTTCCCGGTAGCAAGACTTGTTTTTTCAATAAAAAATTATACCATTCAACTCAGGGTATATGAATACATAGGAAAAGTGATGTACTGAATGAAATTCATAATATGCAAAAGTATGATATACCCTAGTGCACAAGGGCATCAACACACCAAGATAAATTATATGTTTTTTCAATTATAAACAAAAAAAAAATCATGCTTTATGATAAAATAAAAAGTTAAAGTTGAACAGTTTTTTAAGTGATACAGATATGTATGTAGATATGTGTAGGGCAGGACTAAAAAGTATTAGGTTTACAAACTCTACTAAGATTTATTGAAGATAAAGCTGAATAATTGAATTTGGTGTACTTCTATAACATGTATCCTTGAATAAACTATGTGTCAATGAATCCGCAACAATTGGATTACTTTTTGATTAAGTTTGTTTTGTATTTGTATAACTATATTTTATGATTTTTACTTTCAGACCTAAATAAAAAAAATATAGAAAAGCCTGGTTCACAAAGACAGAAGGAAGAATTTATTTGACTGAAAGAAACTCATAATGAATATCTTTAAAAAGAAACAAAGAAAAAAAGGGCAATTATAAAACTTTTAAAGAAAAACACAAAAGAATATGAATCTAAGTTAAAAAAAGACAGAAAACAAAAAAACAAAAAATAGAATGAGCTTTCAAAAAGATAAGAAAGATAAAAATGTTAAGATATTAATTTATCTGTAATTAACTCTTTTTAATCATAAACATTTTCCTTTATTGTAAATCAGTTAGTTTGAATTTTGCATGTTATTAATAATATAATTTATTATAGTTCTTTATGTATTTTATTAACATGTTCATTTTTGCTTAATTTATATTTTTGGATAATCAATGTATCTTGATTATCTGAAAAGATAAAGTAAGTAAAAGTTAACGTCAATAATAACATATTTTCAGATAAAAACAGTACCCAAATATGGAAAAACTAATCAAGGCATTTATTGTTAATTTTCCAAATTAAAACGAGCTATGCCAAAAAAATGTTCATTTCAAGTTAACAAAACCAAGTCTTACATTTTTTTTAATTCTAGAAAAAACCTATTTTTTAAAACTGGAAGGCTATCAATAATACAGGAAAACTAAGAAAAACTAGTTTAATTTTAAAGAAACTATTTACTGCAGGATATCTGATGTTGTCAAAGTCTATCATTTAAAGCATTACTTGTAGACTTGAAGACTTGTAATTAATAAAATAATCTCTTTCAGTTAAACATTTATTATAATAAAAATTATTTGCTGTAAAATTTATTTTACATATGTTTATAAATTATGTTCTAATTAAATTATGAAAGGTTGAAAAAATATAATGAACTCTTTAAATCTGATATAGGATTTTATTAAAATTTCTATTCAACTTTTTTCTGTGGTTTTGGGCAACCATCAACAGATTCTGCTTTATTTCTTTATTTCCAACATAATAAAGTCTTGGATCAACTTTATATTCCTATTTGCACAATCATTTGTGACTTCCATATTTTTTGCAAACAATTTAAAGTTGTCAAAAAGAGAATGGTCTACTTTTGCAGCAAACTTAACCTTGGCATGGCTAACCTGGGCAAAACAAGATCCAGCTCTGATTTACCAACTAAATCTCATATTGTTGTAGACTGTTACAGGAATTTTAGGTTTACCCTTCATGAACTCCTTAGGAATTAGAAACTCTAAGAACTTTGGAATATCTTTATCTTCTCATTTTTCTCAACACCATCATCAGCTAAAGACATTAAAACAAGCTGTTGACTTAAAAAAGACCTTAAAACCTTTGACTTGTTCAGGTTTAAAAGACTTGAACAAGTCCAAGCTATTAAGGTCTTTATATAAGAATTTATAGAAAATATTTTTAACAAGATTTTAGTCAATGTTGAGAAACGAAATAATGTAAACTTTTGTTCTTGCAGCAAGAAGCTTTGAAAATCAAACAAATCACTCTGTTAGCCAAATAACAATAATACTAGATGATGATGATGGTGTGCTTATCAACCTTATGGTTATTTTGGATAAAACTTTTTATTGGCCACACCACAACAAGAATTTATTGAAAACAGATGTAACATCCACAATATATTAAACATTTCTGAGCAAGGATTTATGGAGCATTTTGTTTTTAGCATAGATGACATGGAAGTGATAAACAAATGCTGTAGAGTACAAACTAATATTTTTTATTATAAATTCATTTGTAGATTTTATAGTGTTTTTATAGTTGTTGTATTTAAATTTTGGCTCTGTATGCTTTTCAGTAGTGATTGAGCAATTCTTTACTTATATCAAACATGTCCTTTAGGCTGATAAATCATTAAAACTCAACTTTTAAAACTCAAAGACTTTGTCTTTGAGTTTTAAAGCAGCAGGCTTTAAAACTCAAAGACGAAGTATCAAGTACAATATGTCAGAGATATAAATAAAGAACCTGTCTAAATCTGTCTTCTTCATATCAGTGAAGATGCTTGTGATATCAATTATCATTTCTAATGTAAGCAAATAAATTGCATCTATCATAAACCTTACTTCATGGCAAGCTCTTGTTTGATGACATTTTATGGCAAGAACATGTTCACCAAGGTAGCAAATATAAAGTTGACAAAGATGTTTGTATTCTTGAAGATGCATGCACCAGATTAAAGATAGTTGATAGGATTGTAACTGCTTTAGCAAATTTACCAGCCTTAAATGCAATTTTATCACAGCAAACAATCATAATATTGTTGACAATATCATAGTTCTCTAAGAGGTTAAGGATAAAATGAGTCTTTACATTTCAAATCTTGTAACACTAACTGCAATGTTCTCACAGGTAACTGTCAGATCATTTTTTCCAGCTGTCTAACAAAATTCCCATCAAAATGGGCTGAGTTTAATTCCTTTAATAACATCAAAAAGGTTCAAATTGGTCTACAGCATCTTCAAGCTTGCTTTGTCTATTCAAAGCTGTCTGTGCTTTTCTTGTCTGTTGACTTTCTTTGATATGCCAAGCATTTGTACTTTTGCCTTCTCATTGAGAGAGACTTTCTCAGCTGCCTCTGTGTTTTTCTCATCATTCAACAACTCTTTCATACCTTTCCTTTCTTCACAGAGTGAAGAAAGGAAAGGTATGAAACCACAAGGTATCACAAATTCTTCATCTTACTGTACAGTCATAGTCATATTCATTTCAAATTCTTGATCTCCATGGCTACATTTTCTATTTTTGTATCTTCTGTTCTTCTCCAATCTTTCACTATTAGGTTAATTAGTTGAGGAACAGATATATGAAACAAGTTATTAATCTCTATCAGGAACTCTAATTTGCTTTGCTGTAACTCCAATTTAGTTTATTTAATCCTTTTATTTTATTATATTTCTTTGTGAGTCAAAGGATCTTTTCACTGAAAAATATTAAGAAAATACTAAGAAAATAAGTTAGCAAAGTATAGCATATAAATATATTTGTGAAATAATTTAAATTATATAAAACACAATAAGGAAATGCTGCTGCATTTTGTGCACATTTTGAGAATTAAAGTGCACACAATTTTCAAATATATTATTATAAAATTGCATCTTTTGATATATATTATCGTAATATATATAACCTCAAAAAGCTATTAGAATTTATTCAAAACAAAAAAAATTTAAACCTAGATAATTACATAGTTAATTAAAATATTCTTACTTTTCAATAAATGTCTCAGGAAACAAGATATCTTTAATATGCGAATTAACAGTTAATGTCAACATAAGTTTATCGAGCTAAATACAAAATAAAGTTAAATGTAACTGTATTGCAGATATTGAAAATGGATTTAGCTGTCATCGGTATTGTGTTTCAGAAAAAAAAATTTAATATAACTGTGTACACTACGACAATCTTCCATAATAGATCTTAGTACCACACTAAAAAAATTTCTGGTGTCTAAGACAGGATGTCCTACAGTAACGAAAAAAGATTTTCTAAAAGCTGAAAAGTAGCTGAAGGTGAGGAGCAGATAAGAAACAAAAATGTTTGACATAAGTTTGACAATTATTCAACTAGTTATTTTATACCTTAGAACAGATTTACAAACTTAAAGTTTCTCATGCACATTATAAAGTAAGCTTCATGGCTGAATTATTACATCTGTTAGCAATGGCAGGAATTACAACTAGGTGACAAAAAATTACAAAAAACACCTTGGTGTCTTAAAGATTTGCCTTTGGACGCAACAGATTATTTTGTGATCTTTCATTATTTTTTCTTTCTGAAGAACCCGCGAGTCTTCTTTAACTATCTGTTCCCTATCAAAGTTACATGACTTATTTTCAGGGTCTTCTTTTTTTATCATTATGGTATAACCAAAAATGATTCCTTCGTGGAATAAAGAAGGATTGTCAAACATAAAAAAAAGTTATAAAAACAGTTCTTTTAAGGCAGTTGTTAATGACAGGGCTTAAGACACATTAAATTAGGAAGGGATTTCATAGGCAGGACGCATTTGAAAGACCAGCTCCTAAACAAGGTGTTTTTGTTTTTGAAATACATTTTTCCAATAAAAATTAACCCTTTATTACATGTTGCCAAACTGAAATATACAGTAAAAATTAGATAACTCCTTTTATTTTAAAATAATATCAACTTAGCAGCATTTTCTCTTTGATTTATCATTACTGCTTGATTTTGAAGTCATAACAACTTGTTTTAAATTTTAAACAATGCTCTTAAGTTTACTAACTTGAATTGTTCGTTTTTTAAAAATAAAATAAAAATGTGCGTATTATAGGGTAAAATGATTCTTTCATACCAAGGCTTGAATTAAGCGTATCACGATCGCAAATGCTTTTCACACTTTTGCAATTAGTTTTTTTCTTTAAAAAAATATTTTCCTGATTAATTTTTTTTCTTTTCTAATGTTTTAATGTCTTTTGACCATTCTTAATGTTTTAGTCATTCTTAATATTTTTTATTAGGGGTCATAAAGAATGTCACACTAAAGAATGTCACACTAAATTCATCTTTTGAATAGAAGTATGATCATTAGCTCTCTTGCGCTGAGATTTTTATTCAACAAAAGTCATTTTTTAATGCAAAATAATTTTTAAATTAAATTTCAAACTAAATATTTTAACAAGGAATCTCAAATAGAATATGAAAAACGCAATATCATTTTTCTATTTTTTCATCTTATTTAAAATAATATCAAGATTAATCATTTTGATTAATTTTAAAAATATTTAAAAAAAAAGAAACTTATTTGAGCAAAAGAATTTTTGTTTTCTAAAATTCTCTTATTTGAATAATTTTGCAATTTGAAAAAAAAATTGGAAAAATTTAAAAGAATATAACGCTTATATAAATTTTATTGCAGTGGCGTCTGTATAACCCAGTGGCATAGCTAAGATCATTCCTGAAAGTTAAACGTGTATCTACCTACAGTAACAATAGATTTAGAACATAGTGCAAGTGAGGAAGAAAGTTTTACATAACTTGTAAACAATTTGAATAGTTTCAATATATTTTGTTTCTTAAAAATAGTTTTAAAAGTAGAAACATATTGCAAACATTAAACCAATGATTATTGCTAAAGTTAAGCCAAAAATTAAATATAAAAATTCCAATTAAAAAAAAAAAAAAAATTAATCCACTTCTACTAAAAGATATTTTTTTCTAAAAAATAATTTAAGCACTTATTAAATTATTGCTTAAATTTGAGAAAACATAATTTGATTTATTAGAACAAATTTTTTAACTTCACTTTTTTATTGCAAAACAATTTGAATGAAAAAATGGAAAAAAAGTTTTATGAGTTAATTCGAGCCCTGTATACAATAATTAAGAATTTATCATCTGTATTATTTAATTTGATTAACTTATAAAAATATTGCTATTATTATTGCTAATAATAGCAATATTTTTACAAAATAAACAGTTTTTGATTTATAAAAATAATCAAGAGTCACAATCATAAAATGTAAAAAAGTCCCATAACCTCATCAGAAATTACACAAAAACATTTTTTAAAACACATCAGAAAAATATTTCTTGGAAACCACATACTTTTATGGTGTGCAACTCAAGAAAATTGCCATAGTTCACATAGTTTTAAAATTTTTGTTTCTGGGACACTCTGATTATCAAATGCATTTTAACTTGCATAATCTGGTCCACACTAGATTATGGTAGTAATATTTTAAACTCACATGGTATACACTAGATTATGGTAGTAATTTTTTAAACTCACATGGTATACACTAGATTATGTAATTGTTTTAAAAACAAACTTAATCTGCATGTTATTTTTTTCAAATTGCACTTTTCTTTTTCTTAGTAAGCTAAAGTATATCACTTCTATAATAACCTTATAATAACTTAACATTAACTTCATTTTGGTGAATATAATTTTTTTGAGAAATCTTTAAAAAAGCAAGTTTCTTGTTTCTAATAATCAATACAAACACTCAGTTACTTACAAATCAGATTTGTTAATAAATACAAACACTCAGTTAATCATGAATCAGATTCCTTCAATTAAAATAACAAAAATTTGTTCCAGTTACAAATTATTTAGCTAGATTGATTGAGAAAAATCTATATATTATGAAATCCAAATTAAGTTTGTCAATTATAATAAACAAATTAATATTATTATAGAAATATTATTAAACATAGAACTTGTAGAAACATTTTTTAGCGTAAAAGGTAAAATAAAAAATTCTTATAACAAACCTGATGCAACTTATGATAAACAGTAAGTAATTCACAGAGCAAAAGCTCTGCTTCTTTTGTGGCAGAAATAGATTTCTAAAATTAAACATTGCAGAAAATAAACAAAAATGAATGGCATAAATGTTTGATTAAAACATATATGCCATATACTAAAACACAAACATAATAAACATTATGCCAAATGCCAAACATTTATGACATCAGGTTTGGGGTCAAACACAATTGTTAATGTTAGGGTCAAATTCAAACATTAACTCTATGTTTCCAAAGATAAATTCAAACACACATATTAGAGTTAGAAATTTAAATATAACTATTTGTATTTTATGTAAATAAAAAACACATATTATAAAAGTATTTTTTTACTCTATAAAATGTAATGTAAACTTAATTAACTTTATTTACAACTTCTTACTTACAGTAGATTTTCATAAATACTGAAGAATAACTACTTTAAATCATTTAAGTTCTCGTTCATTCTATTTGTCATCTTAGTCATCATTTAAATTCTTGTTCATTCTATTAAGCTATTATTATTTGATGTGGTAGTGGTATAGTGGTAGAGTGCTTGCTTCATACGCAAAAAGTTTTAAGTTAGATCCCCACCCTGTCCCTGGTAGTACTACGCTCAACTAGTTTCTATGCAACCTTGTTCGTCAAGGTTTGTGTTTTGGTGTTAAACTGTTGACAAAGGGTTGCAAACACAAATAAGTAGACTCCTAGATCCTTGGGTTTCTCGGCCTTAGGAAGGTGAATAACATAAAAAGAAAATAAAAACAAAAATAAATTTGTTCTTAATTTTAAGGAAGATTTTTAAAATAGCCCTTATTTCAAAACCATTTTTGCATAAAAAAACACCGCATAATATACAGAGGTGACCAATAAATTAGCATAAACCAAAATATTAATTCTTATTGACAAGTATGTTGAGAAATTGTCCTTGGCATACAATTATTATTACCGCTGTTAAGCTGCAGTGACAAGTTTTTGTTGGTTTTAATTGTTGCTGTGGTTTTCATGTTTATTTGAGAAAATTTTGAGAAAAATTGAAGAAAAAGGTGAATTTTGTTAACATGGCCAAGAATTCACAAGTTACTATTGGTACTTACATGTATATTAACAACGGATTTACTTAATAAATTTTTCATATTTTAATATCCTTAATATTACTCAAAATAATGTACTGTACTCACATGTGTAGTATCATAATACAATTTTTATAATAATCATAATACAATTTTTTGTTTTAAAAGGTTGTCACTGTAAATGGGTAAAAGAAATTATGTTTCTCTGAAGAAGTTTGCACGCATTGTAGTATATCTTAAGGATACAAACTACACGCAAGAAACAATTGCAGAGAAAGTTGGTGTTTACCAGTCTGTGATCAGCAGAGTGAAGAAGAGAATCACTAAGGGCATATCACCATTTTCTACAGGAATTAGTAATTGTGCCAACAATTAGAAATTGTTGGCACAATTACTAATTGACAAACCAAGAAAGACAACACCTCGAGACAATTGTGCGTTACTACAAGCAGTCAGAAGTAACAAAAAAGCAACATCAAAGCAGTTAGCCAAACAGTTTGAGAAAGCTGGAGTAAAATTGAGCGATAGAAAAATACAGAGACCTCTTTTCAACAGTGGATATGTGGCAAGAAGACAAAGAAAGAAGCAAAAGTTAACCGAAGCAATGATGAAGAAGCGGTATGAATGGGCAAAGCAACATCACCACTTGATGGAGGAAGACTGGGAGAAGGTAGCATTTAGTGATAAAAGTACTTTTTGTGTGGTAGATGATAGATCAATTTATGTGAGCAGAAGGAGTTTCATCCAGACTGTGTGGTTCAAGGTGTCAAATATCCAACGCCTGTGATGGTCTAGAGTGTTATGTCAGTACATGGCTGTGGCCATATATATATTGTGGAGAAAACAATGAAGCAGGACCAGTAAAAGAAGGCGCTTCAGGAGAGATTGCTACCACAAATGAAGACGTAGTACCCCAGAAAAGATGGCATCTTATGCAGGATGTTGCCCCTTACCACAAGGTAAAATCTGTCATGAAGTTTTTAGCTGACAACAAGGTGCATGTTTTAGTATGGCCTGGCAATTGGTCCAACATTAACCCAATAGAGAATTTGTGGAACATTTATTTATACCTTATTAAATAGGGTTGATGAAATAAAATGTAATGTATGAATATGTGCAAGTTAGTATAAATTTTCTTAACTTTTTACTGTTATGCTAATTTAATGGCCAGGTTTGTAGACTTATATAATTTAAATTGTGACTATACTTTTTAAGAACGCTTCTCCAAATAATTTTTTACTCTTTTAGTTTTATTCTGTAACTTAATTTAAAGTAATTAAATTTAAAGTAATTAAATTTAAAGTAATTAAATTTAAAGTAATTAAATTTGAAGAACAATTACTGAACTATTTGATAAAATGAAAGAACTTTTAAGAAAATATTTAGCTAAATAGAAAAATAAAAACAAATCTTTTTAAAAGTATCGCATAGATAAACTTTTTAAATTATTTTAAAATGTTAAAAATAATAAAAATAGTAATTATTACAACAATAATAAAAAATAATTTCACTAAACAAAGAAAACAAAAAAAAAAAAAGATCTGAAAAAACTTTAACTTTGTTTATGGAACTAAAAATACATTTCAATCAAATACAAATATTAAAAATACTTTTATATCTAAATATAAATACAAATACAATAATAATAAATATTATTATCAAATACAAATATTTAACTGTGATTGTCTTTAGCAAAAATGATTAAAACAAACATAAAACAAATAATAAACATTATATTTACTACCTCATCTAGACAAAATATCCAGATTTGGTTAAGAAAACTTTCTATCACTAAGTGATCTATCTTCAAAAACAGTGATATTGTATTTAGTACTGATACTTGATCATTTTCATTCTTGCTAAATTTAAAAAGAAACAATGAATTTATGTATATAGTTTGTAATATATACTTTAGGGCATGTTGACTTTCTATGGCTTTTCTATCACAAGATATACTGAATTTTGAAAAAAAATCAATTGTTTCAGCTTATATATCTCATAACAAACATGCATCACAAAAAAACATTCCTGAGTTGAATGAAACATCCTAAACGTAAGGTATTTGGTAAACATTCCAAACAATGTCACCTGTGATGTACAACCCATTAAAACTATTTGTATAAACATAGATTTTTGCCTGCTAAGCCACATTAACAATGTCTTAAAAGAACAAAATAATATTAAAAATTAATAAAAACATATACAGTTCATTTTTCAATTATTTTTTATTTTATTATTGAGTTAAGGAGTAAAAATTTTATGAAAAGTCATCTTGGCTTATATGCCATCTTGATCTTAGTTCCCATATTATTGTCTGCTATAGTAACTGAACTATATGTTTTTTTGTACTTTTGTTTTAATAATAACAAATAAAATATAAAGAATATAATATATAGAATGTAATATAAAGAATGCATTATACTTTGTTTTAACAATAAAGAATGGAAATAAAGAATACAATATGTATAATAATAATGGAAACATATAGATAAACATGTATGCATGTTTATCTATATGTACTTAAAAATTTGATATGAAATATAAATATTATATACAAAATATGCTTAGTCATAATGCATACATACTTCCATTTATATACCCCAAATATAATAAATTTACATACCTATTATGAAAATTTAAAAGTGTTGAGTGCAACATATCTACCATCCAGTTATAAAAAGGGTAACTGTTTGATCTATCCTCTACACGCTAAGATCATAATGTAAACATTAGGACCATTATACCAAAACAAAACACAAATAAAAAAAACAAAATAAAAGAAATTTAAAAATCCAATTTTGATTTTTAAAACTTTAAAAAATAAATAATAAAAAAACCTGGTAAATATCATATTCTGCAATAACTTTTAATAACTCTTCTAAACATTTGACAGCGAGCGATCTGTTTTCAATTAACATATTGTTTTTTATTTGACAATAGAAGTCAAAGTGCTTAAGAAGATCAAACATTTCATTGTAACCCAAATTAGAAGCAGAATTAGACTTCCTATAACAAATATATATTTTAATTTGGCTAAATAATAAAAAAATTAAAGTTTTCAAAAATATTTCTGAAACTTTTTATTTTATGGTCATTAAAAGCTTATAGGAGCAACATGTACCACCTCAGATTTGATGAGTCTTGGTGGGTTCATATTGATGAAAAAAAGCAAACTTTAAATTTTTTAGTTTAAATCTGAAATACCATTTTTTTTTAATTTCAGGCCTTTCTTAAAAAATAAATTCAAAAAGAGAATATAATATTTGCTACAATCGAATTTGATTCTGCAAACTTTGTGTAAACATGAGCATCAAAACAACATTTATACAGGAATATTGAAAAAAATACTGAATTTAAAACAAGATTTTTGTAATTATATTAATATTACAATCAGACTTAATTTTAAGTTTTACTTAATTCAAACATCAATATTTTTGGTTGATCACAATTAAATTTCTCAAAAAGACAGAGTTAGCTATGCAAAAAGAAAGGCAAACAAGATCTGCCTTTCTTTTTGCATAGACAAAAAGAAAGGCAGATCTTATAAACAAATTATAAACAAGACTTTTAAATTAAGGACCAAACTTTATATTTTTTCTTGGAATTGATAATACCAGCGGTGGCTCGTCTAGTTATAAATAGAACCCTGGCCCTATCTACGTTTATTTAAAGTATTTGTTTATGAAAATATTACTTAAATAATTTGTTTAAACTATTTGTACAGTATTAGTTAAACAAATTTGTGTTAACTGAAAAAATTTTGAGTTTTTTAAACTATTTATTATCCATTTATTAGTTTTTTGAACTATCTATTATGCGTATTTTATATTTATTATGCATACTTTTTATATATGTTTCTATAGAAATTTTTCTAAACTTTTGTAGTTCTTGAGTTATGGTCATCAAACTTATGTTCTTTTAATATTTGAAAAGTCATTTTTAGGGTTTTATAAGTTTAAAGTAAGTTTTAAACCAATAAGATCACCCTAAGATTTTCCTTATATTTTGAAAGTATAACTTTTGAAAAAAAAAGAAAAAAAAAATCTAAGACAACCATTTTTTTATCTAAAAATCATAAGCTGAAATCTAAATTCTAAATTGGGTGGAAACTAATTCTAGGCGGAATCAACAGATCAAAAACAATTAGATTAATATTCTTTTACTTAATATTCTGAAATCTTTTGTTGTATAAAAATTTGTATGTTCTAGCTGTAATGCTAGGTATATCAGTGAAACTACCAGACACCATATATCAAGGGTTTTGAACATCTTAACTCTGATAAAATCTCACGCAAAAACAAACATCTATCATTCTCTTCTAAATGTAAAAATTATACAAGTACTAAATCATTCTTCATTCTTGACAGACAGTCCTCTAAATAAAAACTTTAAAAAAAAGAGCTCCTATATTGAACTTGAAAAGCCTTCACTCAACATACGAGTAAAAAATTATACTATCAAAAATTAAATCCATTATAATTGCTGCTCACTTGAAAATATCTTACATTATATTTTTCTCTCTCTTTCTATCTTTAACATATACAAAAAGTCACATCTCTTTTATATTTTAGTTTTTTATACCCTGTAATAATTTATTCTATTATATCTAACTGTAGTCACATTTCTACAGTAATTCAATTTTAATGTTGCTAAATTTTTATGTAAACAAAATTGCAAAAATTTTTGTCATAAACCTTATGATGTCAATTGAAATGGATAAATGTCAAAAAAATTTAAAAGAGTGTTATGTTATATATATATATATATATATATATATATATATATATATATATATATATATATATATATATATATATATATATATATATATATACATATATATATTTATATATATATATATATATATATATATATACATATATATATATATATATATATATATATATATATATATATATATATATTTATATATATATATATATATATATTTATATATATATATATATATATATATATATATATATATATATATATATATATATATATATATATATATATATATATGTATTATCATATATATATTGTATTATTATATATATATACAGGGCTCAATTTAATGGTCGGATATTGGACCTAATAGTAGGACATTGGCTAAAACCTTGAATTGTCCGATCAATTTACAAATTAATTGGACATTTTGACCGAAGGGAATTAAATTTTACAAAATAAATACTTTAGTATATCTATAAAAATTTAAAAATAAAGAAAATTAAAAACAAATGAAAAGTTTTAAAATAAAACTCAGTTAAAATAACTTTTTGTAACGCTTTAATTGCATTTGAAATAAATTATTTTAAAACTTATCTTTATCAAAGTTATACAAAATGCTTTTATAAACTACTTTTATTGATTGTTTAATAAATAAAGATTTTATTTAAATTATTAAAAAGTGAAATTAAATTATTGAAAAGAAAAAAATATAATATTTTTAAGTCTATGTAAAAAAATATGCAATATTAAATTGGAACTATTTTATTAAAAAAAAGCAAAAATCAGCGATAAAATGTATAAAATAACTAACGTTAAATAAACTTAATAACATGACAAAGATTTCGATTACATAACTTAGTTCTGTAAAACTGTAAAAATTATATTAAAAAAATTTGATCGGACAATATATATATATATATATATATATATATATATATATATATATATATATATATATATATATATATATATATGTATATATATATATATATATATATATATATAGATAAATATATATACATATATATATATATACATATATATATATATATATATATATATATATATATATATATATATATATATATATATATATATATATATATATATATATATATATATATATATATATATATATATATATATATATATATATATATATATATATATATATATATATATATATATATATATATATGTATATATATATTGTATTATTATTATTATTATATATATGTGTATTAACATATATCAGGCCTTGTGTTGAAGCAAGAGCAATCACTCTGCGCGCATGAAACATGCCTGTAAATAGGCTCCAGGAAGCAACAAATAGCGCTCGCTAGTTTTGTTACAAGAGTAAAAAATTGCACTACTCTGAAGATTTTGCAAGAGAGAAAATTAGTTGATTTTTTGAAAAAGTTGATTTGAAAGAAAATTTTTAGTAAAATTTTTTTGCTGAAGTTAAAATATGTTTAAACAGTAGACTTTGCATATTGTTAGATAAAGAAGTTATATTCGTAATAAAGTACATCACACAAAACTTATGCGTGATGTACTTTAATTTTAATTTATGCGGCATAAGTTTAATTTAAAAATGTCCTATTTCTTCAATTTAAAAGCTAAATTCAGCATGTTTTTTTTTTAATTTAAGTTGAACTTTATCATATTATTCGCTTTATTGTTCTCTGGTCAAGTCAAACCATTCTCCACCTCGTACAGTTTTTTAGGGTCTATTTCACAAAAAACTTCACCTTTTTACTTTGAATTGTCTGTGTAATAAAATCAAAACTTGCAACACTTCAATGAAAATTTAAAACTTAAATGTTAAAAAACAAAAAAACTAGCAGAATATTTATCAAACTAAAACTTCACTTATAGCTTTGATTTCGTAAGGTTCAATCACACACTATCAATTAATGAATATTAATTATAATTTTTAAAATTTAAAATCATTAAAACATTAGAATATCAAATATTTTTTTGTCAAATATAAGTTAATAAACTAAATATTTTCACTGATATCTTTGAATTGGTTAAGCTTATATTAAAGTCTATTTTAAAAATTTTAAAAAATATACCTATAACAAATATATTTGTTATAGGTATTGTTTATAGTTATTTGGTTTATATATTACCAAATATAAAAACTAAAGCTTTTTCATTTGATTTCTAGGACTTCACATGAAAAAAATTCAAACAAAAGTTGTCCACCCTTTCTCTTGTACGCGCTGGTAATCTTTTGAGTAATCTTTTTCCCATACTTGCGTACATGATTTATAGATCGCCCCATTGCAACCAATTTCCAACTCTGAATGTTGTTCTCCAAGACTTGATGCCGAGTGCATATAATTGCGCTCTTTGATAACGTGTTTCAGTATTACGAGCACGAAATATCATGCTGGGCAATATTATTCATAAGATGCAATGATATTATATATAAACCATATATAAAAATTTCATAAAATAATTTAAATTTTGAAAATATATATATAAGTGTTTAGTATATTTTTAGTAACCACTTTGTATCAAATTATGCCAACCTCTAACAGTTTGAGAAAAAATGATGTTAGCAATTTATTGCCAACTTTATTTTTCTAAATTCCGAGGGTTGTGTATATATATATACACATACATACATACATACATTTTAGGGTGCCCCATCCGCCCCTTATATTCTAAAAAAGATCTGTTCATATTCTTAAAACTTTCTTTTGGTTCTCACAAGCAACTCTGTTAAATTTTTTCTAAATTTTATTGGATTTAGGGGGTAACACAAGACCCTTAAACACTTACCGGGTCCCTAATAATATTAAAAAAATTTTTTTTCAAAAGTATGTCATGTTGGGTCTCAAAAGAAGCGAATTATATAAAAATTAAAAAAAAAAACAATTATTTTAAAAAAAAATTATTTTTCAGCTTTTTTTTTGGAATAATTATTGGAAAAATACACTTTTTTTATTTTTAGGTTAAAAAAGGTCATTTTTCTGCAAAAAAAACTCTAAAATAATAATTTTTTTATAAAATGATTGTTATTTTTAAAATTTTTATATAATTTCGCTTCTTTTGAGACCCAACACGACATTCTATTAAGAAAAATTTTTTTTAATATTATTAGGAACAAGTGTTCAAGGGCCTTGTGCTCCCCCTAAATCCAATAAAATTTAGAAAAAATTTAACAGAGTTGCTTGTGAGATCCAATAGAAAGTTTTAAAAATATGAACAGATCTTTTTTAGAATATAAGGGGCGGCTGGGACACCCAAATACATACATACATACATACATACATACATACATACATACATACATACATACATACATACATACATACATACATACATGCATTCATACATACATACATACATACATACATACATACATACATACATACATACATACATACATACATACATACATACATACATACATACATACATACATACATACATACATACATACATACATACATACATACATAAACACATACATACACACATACACAGACACACATGCACATATTGTTAATGCTTTTTCATAATTTAGTACAATATATTTACCTAAATGAAACAATAAACATTTTGTATAAAACAGGAACAAACTTCAGAAGATAGCATTGAAACTATAATTAAAAAAATAATAATAATTCAGTCATAAAAGTATAACAATAACATTTATTTGTTTCATTATATATTACATTTAGTTAATTTTTATCTCATTATTATGCAATAAATGATTCTTATCCTAACTATGCACATATATATTGTTTTAAAATTTTTTATAAAAAAATTAAAAACTTCTTGAGCAGCTGTTACTGGAACACATATCCAGTACTAACATGATAAACTTGATAATAAACAATCTACTTAAGTAAACTCAGGGTATTTCAAGTTTCTATGTTGCGTTCAAAATTGTTTCCTATTTGAATTTTTTTGATAATTCTACCACTAAAACTTCAATACCTTTCTTATTTTGATTGACCATTTTTTTTTTTTTTTCTTCTTATTCACCTCCTAAAGGCCGATAAGGCCACTACAGAAGAGGAGGCTACTTAATAGTGGTTATAACCCTCTCTAAACTCTATAACTCCGAAACACGAACTTTGACAAACAAGTCTGCTGCGCAGAGAAACAAGTTGAGCGCGATACTACCAGGGACGTGGTGGGGATCGAACTCGGAACCTTTCGCTTATGAAGCGAGTGCTTTACCACTACACCACTACCGCATACCACTACACCACTACTGCATTTTAGTTGTTTAAATGCTGTTAATCTTGAATAAGATATTTACTCTATGTTCAAATTGTACACTTAGTGGCTAGTGAATTTCCATTCAACTAAAGTTATTTTTTATCAAACATTAACTAAAATTTTTTTATCAAACATATACTATATTCCTAATATTTCTAAAGATATTAGTAACAAAATAGTGACTGAATTTTTGTCTACTTTTTTATTATTATTTTTTATTTACAGCTGGCAATCAGGCAGTCTATTATTGCAATTTTTTTATATGCACCACTTTTTTACCGGCAATTTTTTTTCCAACATTTATAAATCAGTTACTTGTTTGGTCACACCAAGATTGGTTTTCTTTTGATAGTTTTTTGATTTCAACAAAGGGAAAAAAAGAATTGTAAACATAGCTTAGCCTCCTTTAGATGTTAAAATTAGATAATAAAATGTTGAATAAATAAAATAGCTTTTTAAAGAAAGTTTTTTAACAAATGAAAATGTGTGATCACACTATTTCAATGTTTTTGAAATCTAAATAAAAATCTTTAACAAAATCAAAAATTTTAATCAAAAATTAAAAAAAATAAAATAAATTATTTTTGACATTTTATGACAAAATTTCAGTACTGTTGGATTTTACAGCTTTATAAGCACAAGATCTGCAGAGTTAATTGGAATAAAAATCTAGCAACACTTTATCCTTTTGATATTTACAACAAAGATAATAAACTGAAACACACAAACAATTGCACAATATCTGACTATATTCAACAACACTGTCAAGTCATTTCTAACATAAATTTTACATTATATAAAAACTGTACTTCTCAATTGAACCCAAGTTATTACTTTTGTAATGGAGCAGCTAACCGATATTTTATAAAAAATTATAAAATAGTTAGCAATATATTTCATCATTTTCATGAGCACAGAATTTGTGGAATGTGGCATTTATATGCAATAAAAGTCAAGAAATGGTCTGCAAAATAACTAAATATTATATGTAAAGGAAATGTTTAAATAATCACTGAAAATAATTAAATATGCTAATATTCTGAAGCTAAGACAACCAACCATATAAAAAGCTAACTTTTACAATCAATACATTAATTCTAAAAAGATTAGGTCAACAGGACCAAAAAAACAGGAATGTGGACATTATTATTTTAATAAAATCTGATAATAAAAGGCTAAAAATGTGACATAAGTCATTGTTTATGTAAAGTTTAAATGCAACAAAACGAAAGAAACTTCAAATGACCTAGGCAAGAATATGTTGAGTTCCAAATACAAATGCTTTAGATAAAGTAAATACTCTGGTTCAAAAATTGATTGTTTCTCTAACCTAAAAGTCTTAATATTTTCGGATTAGCAGTTAATAAGCTTTTTTATATTTTTAGGATTCCTGGATACCGAAAACTAGGAAGAAGTTATCTTTTTGTGACTTTCAAATCCAGAGTCCATTATTTAAAAAAAAAAAAACAACTAGAAAAAACATTTTTAAATGTTGAATTAAATGTTGAAATATTGCTTATAGTAGAAATTCAAAATCCAAATATACAGTTCAGTCATCTCAGCAAGCTAAAATGTTTTTTGCTGTATTTTTTCTGCTTATATTGGCAATACATACTTTATTACTTCAGATTTAAACCTATTGCCCATCAGGTCAGTTTTTAGTCCTATAGACCTAGTTAAAAATAAGTAAAATACTGCATTTATTTATATAACAATTGTAAATTTATAAAATAATTGTTAATTTTTTTGAACACCATAGAACTTAAGAAGTAGAGCATATTAAAAATGCTGTCTATTATTTTGCAATGATTTGTTGATTATTCTTACTAATTTTGTTAATATTTTAACTATTGTTTACCTTTATTTCAATTGAATCCATTTTCTCGAAAAATATTTTAAAATATAAGTCATTTTCTAATTTCTTTTTTTTACAAACTGGATCATTATTTTCATCTTCATTGTGCTTTCGATTTCGACACATTTTTAAACTGTTCATATGATCTCTGAAAAATTCAAAAAAATAATAAATACAAAATTAATGCATACAAAAATTGAAAAACAAATTAAAAACAAAAACACTTTTAAATACATTTTACAACTACTGACCATTTTTGTTAAAAGATTAACATGTAAAAGAAAAAGCTTGAATTTTTGTAAAAATACCAAAAATAACTCATACATGGTTATTGACTTAAAATTTGAAATAGTGGGAAAAATCTCTATATAAACATTTGGAAACTTAAATATTTTACAAAATAACCCACAAACATCTACCACTCTTTAATTTAATAATACATTAACCATGTGTTGTAGACTGTCTGTTATAAAGCATCAGCTATTAGGGTCATTTCATGCCAAGTGGAGTAATGGTCACTTATGGATCACCTCTGAAACTGCTGAAATTTATTGAATTGGCACAAATATATGAGAAAAAATGTTTAAAAAAAAACAGATCAATATCTAATGAGTAGAAAACACTATTTAAATAGTAGGTTATTTAGTATAAAATGTTCTATTTAGTGTAAAATGTATTTATTGTAAAATGTATTTATTTAGTGTAAAATGTTTAATTATAATAAAAGCAACATTGATTCAAGATACCTTAGATTAGGCTAAACTTTCATAAATTAGATTTTCAATTAATATTTTAAGCTTTGTTCTTAAGCGCTTGATCAATATCAATTCTAATTATAAAAAATCTGAAAAATTCATATAAGAATATATTTATAACTTTATCTAATATATTTTGTAAATATTGTATCGCTTATTATATACTTGAAGTTTTCAAAGTGACAAAATTGTAATGATTATGGGTAAAATTTGTGTAGTATTATAGATTTTTTAATTTCTAAAAGTTTTAAAGTTGAAACTGTTATTGCAAAACTTTTATTCTGCAAATTTGTTGAGTTTTGAATGTTAAGAGGTTTTAATAAGAAACGCTTTCCAAATATAACATATATTGGGATACAGCAAATAGACTTTTTAAAAGCGCTACATTGTGTTGTTAATTTAAATCACCGTCTGTCCTGAATTATTGCTGTAATATGTCAATTAATTGCATTAATAACCAAAAAGCTGTCTGCATTTTATGTATAATGCATAAATTGTATAAAAAAGGCACAAAAAACTTCACATTTTTATTGAACTGTAAATTTTTAATCAAGCTTTATTATGATAGTTTGCTCTGCTATTGATTGCTGGAGAAATGCCAACACATCGGGTTCATCAATTATTGGTTTTCATTGTCTTTTTATCAATCGGTGTGAGCTTACTAACATTTTTAGTTATCAAAATTTAAATGGAAAATATAACATGATTGCCTTTTTACCCTTTTACCCATATTCAAATTAACAAAATTTTGCAATTTGAACTAAGTTAACATAATTATCAATATTTTCTAATAAAAAATTTAAAAATTGTCAATTATTCCTAATAAATACTATTACAATATACATATTAACTATTTATCAAATCATTGTTTCAAAAACTCATAGCAATAAGCGGCCTACATACATTTAAAAAAGAAATTCTCTTTTTACGTAAAAATAGAAAAGATTCATAATATATAATAAGGTGATTAATGTCTTCTATTTATGTAGAAGTTTATCATAAGAATCTTAATTATTTAGCTCTCACACAAAACAGGAGGGTATGATTATCTAAAATATAATATTCCACAAAAAGTAAAATTATAACATTCTATATTACTTGTATAAAAATCTTACAATCGACAAACAATGCTTACTTAAAAATATATATATATTTTTTAATTTATTCTGATTCACTCCCAACAACCACTATTAAGTTGGAAGTTACAAGAAAAAAATTCTAGAGTTATAGAGCAAGGAAAAGGTTGACAGAATATTTAAAAAGTCAAGATTTAACAAGTCAAGCGAGAATGAGTTTTAGTTGACGGAACTAGAGATAAAAGCTCTTTTGAGAAGCAACCATGATAGTATTTGTAGAAAAGAAAAAGAGATGCAACTTTATGACAATGGGAAAGAAGCTCAAGCTTGGCAGATAGATCCGACTATGTTTATAATGCGTTTTTGTCTACTTATTTTGTCTAAAAGAAAAAGAATATCATTAGAAGAACCAGCCCAAATATGACAACAGCAGGCACGTACTGGTGCACAAGGATACTGAGAAAATCCTAGTAGGCCCACTTAAAAAGTTTAAGACAGGGGCCCTCTACCAAATAGGTACCTGTAGTCTTAATTAAATTAAGTAATTTCATTTCATAATCGCTTTTTTTTTAATTTCTTGATTATTACATTTCTTTAGTAATACAAACTGTTAAAGTAATAATTTGAATAAATTGAAAATAGTTTATAATGTTAAAATTATTTTAGATTTGGTGTGGTGAACCTAATTAATGTTATATACTTATATATGATAAAATAATAGTATTAAGACAGGACTTTGAAATTAGTACACTGAAAAGTCAATGTAAGTCAAAAGTGGCCTGTTATTGGAATAATGAGATATTGATAAAAAAGGGTAGAGTAAGTTTTTTTACTTTTTCAAGTCCTACAACTGTAACAAACATTATTCAAACTATTTGTAAATAATAATTATTTAAAATTTCTGTAATATTAAATTATATGAGGTAAATTCAGCTAGTATTTATTCAATTTGAATACAACTATGGATATATCTACCCATCAATGTGTATTTGTTTTGCAGTATATTAGTGACAGAACTGAAGGCTCCAGGTCAATAGTTAAAGTTGTGGAACATGTTGTAGCTTTAAACAATGTGATTTCATCTTTAGGGCAGGGTTTTATTTTATGAATATTAGCTTAAGTAATTTATTTTTTTTTTTTTATTATTATTTTTTTACATCTTCGCTACCAACAAGGCTGCAAGCAACCACTAATTAGTGTTAAAAGTTACTGGAAAAGAAAAGATGAAGAATGTAGAGCAAGATAATGATTGACAAACGACTTAAAACATTGCAAATTATATGAATCAGAAAAGCAAGATGAAGGAAGCGAATTTCAAAGAACTGATGTTCGAGGAAAAAAACTAGATGAATAAGAGTTTTTGGAGCACTTAGGAACACTAACAGAAAAAGGATGAGAATTAATTGAATGACAAGTAACACAAGAGTGAATTTTAGTTGATGGCAAAAGAGACGCTAGCTCTTTAGAGCAGTGCCCATCATAATATTTGTAGAAAAGATAAAGGGAAGCAACATTACGAAGATGTGATAATGGTTGAAGGTTGGCTGCAAGAGCAGGTTCAACTATGTTTACATTGCATTTTTTTACCTTGTCTAAAAGAGAAAGAGCATAATTAGAAAATCTGCCCCAGATATGGCAACAGTATTCCATAAAAGGTCGGATTTGAGATTTATAGAGATAGAGAAAAGAATCAAGAGTAAGAAAGTGTTGATTATGCATATTTGTATAATTATGTAGCAGATGCTTTTGATGGTGCTGCTAATATGAATGGCCAATATAAAGGAGTTTAAGCAAAACTCAAGGAAGTGCTCCCAAGGCAGATTTATACATAGTGCTACACTCATGTGTTAAATCTAGCCTTACAACAAACTACTTCTTGTTCAGTTACAGTTATTTCTTTTTTTGGACTTCTTCAAGAATTATTTGTTTTTTTTCAAAGAATCTTATATAATTCTCAATGTTTATGAAAATCAGAATTTGATTAATATTAGTTAAACTTGATAGCAGTCTAAAAATAATGCGTTTATTAAGATATTTGGTCGTAGCGATATGTGGAATAAAAGAACCAAGAATGATTACAGAAAGCAATTTTTATGTGTAAATTGTATTTGCACTTTATAAAATTTCTGTTACTAATGATTTTTCAAACAGCTTAAGAAGTACAGTTCAAAATTTACTAGGTCGACTTACCCGTTATGAAATAGTAATAACAGCAATGATGTTTTCGCAAATATTCAAGTTTAACACTGCTATCTGAATACATTTTAACATCTGGTCTAGATTATATGTAAGCATGAAGAAAAATTAATGGAACAATAAAGTCTTTAAAAGATAACAAAAGAATTTTTACCAGTCAGCACAGGAGCAAAAATATTCATTGAATTTGTATCCAGTGTAATTTGGGAAAATGAGTCAGACATTGATAGAAAATTAGAGCTTCCTGAAAAGAGAAGAAAAACTATTTCAAAACATTATGGAGAAAATTCAAGTACTAACCTAAGAGATATTCTCAAAAAGGTTTGTAAAATCAAAACATTGAACATAGAATAATAATATTGCTTATTTGGAATGAAGATTTTCGGGTAGTAAAAAACTTTATTGTGATCTCGAACTATTTGATCCAAGAAGGTTTGAAGAAATTACAAAAAATGGAATTCATTCTGAAGCTATTAATAAAATTTGTGAACTTTTACCTCATATTGATAACCATAAACTAGGAGAACAATTATTATCATTTGTGAAACCCTGGCCTCAAATATCCAAAACTGATATTAGAGATGTATATGATGTATACCAAAACCAAAGCAATTTGCAATAAGATTCAGACTTTAAAGATTATGAATATTTTCAGGAAAATGATAATAATAAATGTACAAGAAAAAAAAAAATGTAACTCATGTTTATTATGCATAACAAATGTTATTTATAAATTCAAAATATATTCTTTATGGTATAACAATTTGTTTGAATTATACAAGTTTTTTTTTTACAATCCCTCTTACTCTAGTAACGTGTCAACGATCAACGATCAACAATCATTCTTGAAATCTAAAATTATAAAAACACATTTAAGAAGTTGTGTTTAACACAGGAGAACTTGGAATCACTGTTTTTGATGAATTGTGAAAGGGAACCGTTGGCAATCATTACAGCAGAACAAGTGATTAACTTAATTAGTGAAAAAAGTAACAAAATATTAAGGATGTTGAAAGTTTAGATCTTAAATATTTTATATAACTATTTCAATATTATTTCCTCTGTATTGAACTACTTTTAATAACATACTATTCATATTTTATAATTTATACTACGCAATCAAGAACACTTAAATAAAAATGATTATATTAATATTGTTGAGTATTTTTTTTTTTATAGAACTTAAATTAAAATGTTGATTTGGTTTATCATTTAGGCTCATGTTAATTGTATAGTTTTTTCTTAGTGTAAGAATTAGATAGATAACCTATTAATATAGGCAATAGAATCCATTGCTATTATTGAGTATATTGTATATATTAAGTGGGCCCTAATTATATCCAGTTTCCCGGTAGAGAAAATATATCCAGTACGCGCCTGGACAACATATATATATATATATATATATATATATATATATATATATATATATATATATATATATATATATATATATATATATATATATATATATATATATATATATATATATATATATATATATATATATATATATATATATGGATCATGCAAATTACTTTTTTACAATCAAGCTAATGTAGATGTGATTTATGCAAAACTTATTAATAAGTTTCCTTTTCAATTTATGAATTAATAAATGTTTATGAATTAATAATTTAATGAATTAATAAATTAATTAATAAAGAGTTCAGCAAGTAGTTTTAAATGGAAATTTTACTACTTAGGAGAGACAGATCTTATTTTTTTAACTGACTCACTTCCAAAAGGCTGCAAGCAACGACTTAAAAGGTTCAAGATTGTGTCAGGAAAACCAGAGGATAAAAGATTTTTTTTTAATCTTTAAAAGAGCCATCCCAAGAATTCCAAATATGACAACAGAATTCTGTACAAGGATGTAGGTTTTTAGACTTAAGATGAGAAAAACCATATTGATTGTCAGATAATAAATTATTTGACACAAGATGTTAGAAATTTGCTGATTAAAAACTCAAAGAACTTGCTAATAATAGAGAAATGACTGATTAAACAATAGTTGGAAAGGTCAGAGTGTTCTCCAGAATTTTTAAAAAATAGGTACAACAGATTTTTGCAGAACACAGGGAGAAAAGATTCAGTTAAGCACTTAACAAATAGTTTAGAGAGAATCAAAGAGAGGTCTAGAGAACACTTTTGTAAGACTATGATAATAATGTTGTCTGGACCACAAAAGACCAAGTTGTAGAAGAGTGTAATAGTGAAATGACTTTAGAAACAGAAGTCTGAGTGACTTTGATGTCAAAAATGGGTTTAACCAGAAAATTAAACTGTTAAAGATTTTTCTCTAGAATCTAACATTTAAGATAAAAGATTTAGTAAACTGAGAATAATGAAGCTTAGCATCAGACAGCACATTTTTACATTAAATTCTAGCAAAAATAAAAAAAGTTTGTTCCCAAGGGAGTTGTTTTTGGAAAAAAGAACAAAAATAAAATTACCATTAGATATAACAGCTTCACAAAAAGGTGAAAATCTTGAGGTAGAATGATCTTGACTTGAAACTGAAAGGAATTAATAAAAGCTACATTGGTGGCATATTTATTAGGGAAAAGAAAAACTCTTTAGGGTAGTAGTATGTAGTGTTATGATAGGGTAAGTCCAAAGAAGAAGTACAAAATAATTAATTTATAAACCACCTAAAGGACAAAGAGAAACTGGACACAAACTAATTTCAGAGACAAGACATAAGTTAAGGAGTGAGGGTATGTCTTTAGGGTTGTCTTAAATAAATCACAAAGTCAACTACATGAGCAAAAGATTGAGAAATACAGAATTTGAGTCAGCAGTATAAGTGGTGTTAAAGAAAAGACATTCAGTGTGATGAGGATTGAAGTGACCAATAACAACAATATTGTCAGAGGGATAAAGTGAAAGTACTTGCTCAATTTGAAAAAATATCGAAAAGAGCGCTGTTTTGAAAAGGAACATAATAAAGAACAAAGAAAAAGACAATTGAGCGAAGATGTGCTAAAAGGAAGCACAAAAAAATGGTCAGAAAATTAAAAACTGATTTCTTAATAAATAGATAAATTGATGCAGAAGTATATGTCAGAGTTAAGCATGTCACTATTAGAATCTTTGCAATTCAAAAGACAGTAGCTATCAATACTGAGATCCGAATAAGAAACAGCCATATTATAAGTAATCTTACAAAAAACAAGTTTTTGATAACCATAAAAGTTGTATTGAAACCTTTCATTGAACCTTTAATCATTATTTCTGCTTTATTTTCCGTTTAAAAAAATATCTTATAAATGTCAATTTTCATTTATTTAAATTTATAATTATTCTAATAAAACCTTGCAAAGCAAATGTCTTCTAAAATTCTCATCAGAAATTCTTATAAATTTTTTAAAACATTTTCAATTTTTAAAGTTTCTGATTCAAAATTATTTTAACAAGATGATTTTAGAAGATAAATAAAAGAAAATATTTGTGCATATTAAGTATATGTTTTAGTTAAGTTTCGTAATTTTTAATGTATTCTTTTAATGTATCTTTTTTAATGTATCTGTCCATTTATGTTCTAAAAACTTTTACTTGTCTAGTTTTTTTCCTTTTTTATGCTCTCTGATCTTCATGCTTTCCTGATTTATACAACTTACAATTTTTTAAGTCTTCTGTCAAAACTTTTCTTGCTTTTTGACTCTATTTTTTGTTTTCTAGTAAATTAAAAGCAGTTGCTTGTAGCTTTTTTTGGATTGAATTGGTTAAAAAAAGCCACAATATTTAAAAAGAGATAAGGATGATGTTTCATAAAATCTAAAATAGTGAAGATAACTTTAGCTTAATAACTGGTAAGTTTTTTTCCATTATTAAAAATAAAGTTTTTTTTCTAAAAAAGTTGCAATTTTAAATTGCAAAAATAATTGAAATAGAATGAAAAAGTGTATTTAAGAATTTGCATTTTACTAAAAAAATTGAAAAGAAACGGGTACTCATAATCTCTATTTGAATTTTCAAGATCTAAGAGAAGTTTTTACAGTTAATTATTACTATTCTTAATTACTGTTTTTTTTTTAATCTCATTACAACAGTTTTTTAATATGAATTTTTGTGTAATATTGTATTTGTCATGTTAATTTTTTTTCTTTTTTTTTTAATGCTTTGTTATAAGCACAATATTATGATTTTTTGTATAAAAATTCAAAATAGAATACATATTAAATATTGTAGAATACAATATAGACATAATAGAACACATTAAATATTATAGAATACAAGTTTAATATAAACAAATAAGGAATTGTAATAATTCCATGTTTATGCAAAATACGCAAACATTGCATTACCTGTGTAGAAGAACTTTTTTGAATATTTCATCAATAGACAAGCATATATTTTCTGAGTTGTTGTGGAGTAGACATCTTACTAATAACAATTTTACAAAGAGTTTGTCGCAAAATTGCAAAAAAAGCTAAAAACAAACAATAAAAACCACCAATAGTATTGACTAAATTACATTACATAGATAGATTGCATAGACAATCATTTTCACATTTAAACATTTCAAAGTAAAAATAAAATAAAAAAAATAAAAAGTATAATCCTAACAAAACTTTTTTATTTTTTTGGTTTTTTTAAAAAACCTGAAAAAGTTTTTTTTTATTTAAAGGGTTTTTATAACCCTGTAAATAAAAAAAATTTGTATTCTAATTATAAAAGAAAAAAGTTGAATAAATGGAGAATATTGAAAAGATGTTTTTATTTCGTTGTTTTTCATTGCCTATTGTGTTTTTATTTTTATTTATCCATCGGTAAGTTGCAGAGGTAAACTGTTAAATTATAGAAATTTTATAACAAGTTTATATTAAAAAATAATAAATTTATATAAAAATGAGAAAGAAAACTAAAAAAAAGGAACTATAAGAAAAAACTTATATAAGTAAAAAATAAGAATACAGAATAACTTAGTAAGAACTTCGGGTTCAAAATTGATTGTTTCTCTAACCTAGAGTGTAAATTTTTTCACAAAGGTAATTCATAAACTTTTTTATATTTTTTATAGCTCTTGGATACCAAAAATGAGCCTTTTTGAAAATTGAAAAAGATCCTTTTTTGAAACTCTGCATCCCTGTTTACAAATGTTGAAAACCTATTCAACCTGTCTTACATTAAAAACTTTCATTTATGTGTACAAGACATTAAAAAAAAACAACCTTTTAATCGTATATGATCTTGTTTTTTTTTTGTTCACTAACAGTATTACGAATAAAAAAATCAAAGAATAAGATATAAGAATAAACGTTGTAACCTTTTTAAAATTGTACTGACTTTTGATATGCTTGATATAGAGGGAGAGCAAAGAAAACATAACAAAAATGGTCCTCTCTGATATATCACTTTTCATAATCTGATCAGCAACATATGAAATAACTTCTACCTAAAAAATTAAGTCAAATACATTTCGAATTTTTTTATATACTTAAAAAACAATTATCCTGTAAAAAATTAGTTAAACAAAACAAGCTTTATTTAGCTAGTAAGTGTGTATGTATGTGTGTGTGTATATATGTATATATATATATATATATATATATATATATATCAGGCTTTCCTAGGAAAGGCGTGCGGTCGCACGCCTTGTTTGTTCACTCATAGAATAAATTTTTCAGAAAACGTGATCGCGGCAATATTTCGTGGAAAAGCGAAACTTATCCACAGAGAATAAAAAATAATATTTAAAAAAGGAAACGAAGTCTAAACAAAGTATAAAATTGAAATTGGATGTAAGAAAAATATTTTAATAATAAAAAAAAAATTCAAAAATAAATAAATTCTTGTAACAAAAAAAAAAGTCTTGAACATTTTTTTCAAAATTTTTATACTGTTTTTTTTTTTTTTTAGGATTGCTATTTTCAGCTACAAAATTTGATACAAGTCAAGGAAAAGACGTTTATAAGTCATTAAGTTTAAATGAACATAAAAAGACTTGATACGTAATATATCGCGAACTTTATCAGACAACGTATTAAAAAACTGATTCATTATTTACGCTAGACAAATTTAGTTAAATTTTTTAATTTAATTTAGTTTTTACGAAGGTTTATGCAAAGGCGATGACGTTATTCTCCAATACTTAGACAAGAAAATAAATTGCTGTTTTAATTATTAAATATATTATTTGAGATTTTAAACATAACAAAACATTAATGTGAAAAAAGTTTTCTCGACTTATTCTAAACCGATTATACTGAGTCAATGCTCGCCTTTTATTACGTTGAAATTATTCAACTGCATAATTTTGTAATTACGAAAGAAGTTAAAAAGATAACTGCATTGCTTCTGTTGTCATTGTTACGAAAACAGTTCCTTCGGGACATTATTATATATTAACACTTATTAACAATGTCAATTAATGATTGCAAAATAAAAAAAAACTTAATCGTTTGACAATAAATTTTTTTTTCATTTAAAAATCAAAAAAAACATATTTTACAAATAAATAGCAATTGTTTTCGCACTTTCATTTAAACATTTATATGTATTTACGAAACATTTAAAAATTGTTTATAGTTCTATCGTGAATTTTAAAGTATTACTGACTGATAAAAGTCATAAACAAATTTTACATTAAAAGGTCCTTTTATTTTCATTAAACTATAACCTTTTTTTTTTTGATTTTATTTTTCTTATTGATTTGATTTTTCATAGCTAAAATAACTACCACACTAAAAAAAAATATATATAAATAAATAAAATATAGGTAAATTTTTTTTTAATATACATTAACTTTTTAATTTTAAATCACAAACAGGTTTCTGTTATTTACTTTAAGATTGCTTGCATTTTAGCAGTATTTTCGTTTAGCTTTGTTTTGGCGCGAATTTTTGAAACGCATAATAACAAAACGTGGTCACTTAGTCAGAAAAATTTATTTTATGCGTGGACAAACAAGGCATGCGACCGCACGCCTTTCCTGGGAAACCCTGATATATATATATATATATATATATATATATATATATATATATATATATATATATATATATATATATATATATATATACATATATATATATATATATATATATATATATATATAAACACACACACATTAAACAATTCAATACCAAAAAGGTTGTTAATACATCTGTACATTGTTAATCATGTTATTGTTTTTTTCCAAACAAAATCAATCAAACGCAAATCTGGTAATGGAAGTAAGGAAGTTTTTCAAGATATAAAACTGGTTAATAGTTTTATATCTTGAAAATTGGTTAATAGTTTTATGAACAGCACAAGCCTCTTACTAAAGGAACATACAAATAGATAAGTACTTTCTTAAAGTTTTGTTGTAAAAGTTCAAAATAAACATGTTTTCAAGCTTTGAAACCACAAAAGTGCCTAACTGTTAGAAAACTGTTAGAAATATAATTGTCATTCAACTTTCTTCAGCGGAACCCGCTGAAGAAAGTTGAATGACAATTATATTTCTGAAAATTTCAAAATATTTTATTTAATAATTGTTTCTATTCTTCTAAAAATGCTGTATGCTATTAAAAGGATAAGCAAAAAGAGACAGCAATTGCTGATCTGTATACTCTATAGTATATATACACATATAAATTGCAAAATGCGGTAGTGGTGTAGTGGTAAAGCCCTTGCCTCATAAGCCTCATAAGCGAGCAATTAATTGCCGACCTCAAACTTTTAGAGGTCTGCATCAGGTCGGCAAAAAAAATTTGATACAAAGGGGTTACCATAAAACATAGAAATGGTTGGTGATTTTTTTGCCGACCTCAAACACTTCTAGGTTTAATAAACTAGACCAGAAAAAGTTTAAAAACTTGAATAATTTTTTTTTTCCTTAAATAATAGACTGCCTGCCCAAACCAAACCCTCAGTTAATGTAGCAGCATTCCTTTGCCAGTCAGGCATTATTTTAAAATGTCATTTCGCCATACCACTGCTGGTATGCTGATGATTGACATTGACTGTTTGAAATGTTTAACCAAGACATAATCAGCTCATCAACAAAAAATTAATTTATATTTGGTGACGATGTTTTGCCACCAAAAATTTCATCCATGACAAGCTTCAATAACAAATCTAATACATGATGCTGGCAACCAATATATTGTAGAACTTCCAAATTCCTGGCTAAAAACTCTTTTTTTAAACATGCTACAACACCACCTTTTGCTCCAGTATTTGTGTTTGTTGTGTCACAAATAATTACTTTTATTACTTCCTATATATCAAATTCATTTAACAAATTAATCAATGCTGAAACAATTGTTTTAGTTTTGCCATCCTCTAAAAGCAAGACTGACAACTTTATTTCCTGATCATTGTTTTTTAAAACTACAACTTGCATTTCTTTCTGTTAAATCTTGTTTTGATAAAAATATAGTGCCCATAAAGATTTTTTTATAATTTTCTTTAATTCTTCTTTGATTCTTTCAGCTTCTTTCATAACTGCTCTGTTAATACCTGCCTGTGTTGGAGTTGTAATACCTTCTTCTAACAACTGATGACTTTTTGCTCTGGTATCTACTTAGCTTTACATTCTTTACTAAAGAAACAGCTCAAGCAGTTGAGGCTTATCTTTACTAAAATTGCTGGTAGATAAGACAAAATTATTGTCAGTCTTTCTTTTAATGTTACTAGAGTCAGAACCAATGAACTCTATTTGATGCATGGTTTTGCTGACAACAGTTACTTTTTTCTTGAGAAATTTAGATAGATGAGTTGGAACAATTTTTGAAGTAGCATTTTACTTTTCCATTACTTTCAACTTTCACTTTGTAAAACTTTTTTACTTCAGTACTCAGCCATAACCTTTTTTATTTGTAGCATCAAATAATATTTCATTATAATAGCTGATATTGATTATTTGTGCCTTCTAATCTTAATAGTAATTATATACAGTAACCTTTTTTATTTTTTATTTATTTTAGTAACTAGTTAGTAATTTCAAACTTATTAAGTAATTTATAATTATATAGTAACTTAATAGTAACTCAAGGTATTTATGTTGGTATTATTTGTAGAATAGTATTTATTAGTAGGTAGTAAGTATTTATTAGTAGGTAGTAGGTATTTATTAGTAGGTAGTAGGTATTTATTAGTAGGTAGTAGGTATTAATTCACCAAATTTTCAACTTTTCTTGAAACTGATTTTTCTGTTATCGCTGGAAAATTCAGTTTGGTCCATATTGAAGTTCATTCACAGGCAATAACTTTGCATCTTCCAAAAACAGATTTCTCTAAATAGGCCAAGTAAGTGAACCTCCCAAAAACAACAAGTTCATTTGGAATTCTAATTAGTTTGTCAAGTGGTTCTTCTATTTTATTGATTTCTGTTTTTTTTTTTTGCCTTTGCTTTCTCAAAATGAACTAAATTGCTTTGCCAAGTTTTCTTGTTTTTATTTATGATATCACTACTTATTTTAGGGTAAAAATATATGAAATCATCCAGACCATGACACCCTTACGTCTCAGAATTTGTTTATTTTTACACCACTTGCAGTCCATATCAAAAAAAAAATAACTGCGAAAATTTTAATTAAAAATACCAATGGGTTCCAGAGATATCGTCAGTTGAAATAATGCTGACTCAGCATTTTAGTGATTTTCTGAAGCGACTACAAAGCAACTTTGACATATAGTATCTTCATAATGGCTAGGGGAAATTTCCTAAAACTTGGTACTCTAATAGATTTTAACTTAAGGAATCCAAAAATAGCACTCTTAAGACTCGATTATCTCAAGAAACGCCTCATTTATCCAATTTTGTTCAAAATTATTGACTTGTAAATTAGTGATTTTTGGAGGTAAAATAAAGACTGTGGCCCAAAATCCCGAGTAAAAAATTTAATTGTGTATCATTATTTCATCTTAGGTCTAGTGAAAAAAATTAGATTCATCAATTGTCTCTCTAATACGTGATCAAAATTTGCATTTAAAAATGGTGTCTTTTTAGAAAAATTTAATTTTTGTAACAAAAGCAATTAAAAACCCCAATCTCCCTAGATTTTTTTTTTTTTTTTTTTGCATAAAATGAATAAATAATGCAAAAACATACAATTTAATTTTAATTTTGAAAAAAAAAAATTCATTATTTCAAATTGGTGACTTAAAACCTCCTTTTGTATAAAAAACAAACATAAGTTTTGTTTTGTTTTTTTTAAAGGTATTTACTTGTTTGTATTTGTTTGTACTTGTTTAAAGTTTGTACTTGCTTAAAGGTTTAAAGGTTGTACTTGTTTAAAAGTATGTACTTGTTTCTTAAAGAATTACTTTTAATTTTATAGTTTTTATATTATTTTGTTAGGTAATAAATAATAAAAATAATTAATATGGAGAAATGTGACATTGGAAAAAGTCTTAACATTCATTGCCACAAAACTGGATTTTCAAGAAAACAAGGTTTTGTTC